GGGATGAAGAAAAACAGTGATTAACCCTAAGGTCCAGGATGGGATGAAGAAAAACAGTGATTAACCCTAAGGTCCAGGATGGGATGAAGAAAAACAGTGATTAACCCTAAGGTCCAGGATGGGATGAAGAAAAACAGTGATTAACCCTAAGGTCCAGGATGGGATGAAGAAAAACAGTGATTAACCCTAAGGTACAGGAAAGGATGAAGAAAAACGTTGTTAGGGTGAGAGGTATTGAGAGGTGCAATAGCAAGATGATAGCCTCTTCAATATATTATTAAAATGTCCCTGTCAAGGAAACTAAATACAGTATCTAGTAGCATTAAACAAGTGTACCTTTGCTGTTGAACTGTTGCTGAATACTTCTTCCAAATGTTTCCAAAGATCTTGAACTGTCAACCACTATACACATAACATAACACATCAATTAATTTCCAAATGTAAGGTGAATATAGGTATGRCAAAATGTGTCCAGGCCTTGATGTTTGATCTCTCTCTGATCTAAAGTTAATCGAGACTGAGAAAATTAAAGCATTTGAAGATATGGAACACTATCAAAGTACCATGTTTGTCATGTTATGCTACTGATCACACAAGTTGTTTGAAGAAATATGAAATACCTGTTCAAGTACTTCACTGATTTCTTTCAGCTTCAAGGCCCAGGCAGCAGCTTCTTCTCGTAGTGGTCCAATGTATCTTGATGTCAGCATCACAGCTAATGTTGCTTGTGCATCTTCTAACAAATCAAGCAGGTTTTCTGTGTTACTGTGACTAAGGCAAACCAATCCACGGTTCTTAAAGTTTTCAAATGTTAGAACCTACAAAACATAAGATAACCCAACAAATATGAGAATTGAAATTGCCTGGCTTATAATTGATTTATTAGTGAAATATTGCATGTGTTGGATACTTGAGAGAAAGGTGTTTTTATATTATATGTGATTTGTGGTCTATTTAAGTATTCCTCAACATCCCCAAATATTTTACAGGGGTAAGCTTTTGTCTAGCATATAATCAAATACCTGTTCTGTCCATTCCTCTTCAATGCTTCTCATCTTCAACTCTAGCTCAAGTTCTCTACTTGCAGAACGACAAATGTCTTGTATTTCATCTTGATGTCTGSACAACAGCAACAACATTTATTAATGACATCATTGAACAATACAYTACTACTGCAAGGCTGCACTTACTCAAGTAGACCAATATCCAGAAGATGAACCAGTTTAAAGATGTGAGCCTCAAGTTGAAATGACGACCCTGTCACACTCATCACTTGCAGCCAATGCCGATTACGAATTTCCTAAAATAATTGAAGGCAAACTTATTAATATAGATGCTAACAATCATCAATATAAAACTAAAAATATAAACCTTTGCATTGAGTTTATGTAGGATTGGAAAGACATCAAGGTAGTGTTTAATTGCATCTCTCATTTCTTTAAAAGCTTCCCATCCTTGAATACGTGACGGTAGCCTTATACACTCTTGCCAGTAATGCTCCATCTGGTGGAAAGAGAGTTTATTGAATTAAGAGAGTGATAGAAGAGTAAAATGATGTCTTATAAAGGAATTTACAACCCAATAAAATTGTTCCTCTAAGATGTTATAGAACAAATTGCCAACATGTATTAACTCACCTCTTGATTAGCAACTATCAAATCAACTTCAGACCAAAGAGTTTCCCGGAATCTGGTAACAAGAACAAGTTTAGTATGAAAGTTATATCTGTAATAGTGGATAATAAGTWAATGGCTCTTTTACCTTTGGTCAAATGATATGAATTGCTGAAACAGACCATACAGTTGACCAAGCAGCTGCAGTTCCTAAATAYCAAGACATTGAATCAAATATATGTACATTACTACAAAGTAGGATTTGATATGATTTCCCTTTTGTCTGATCCTAATCTTCATTAACTTGGCAATGAAGTAAAGCATCTCAAATCACTGAAAACATATCGTTCAATAGAAACATACCTCTCCAGTTTTGTCAAGTTCCAGGAATGGTGCTGGTATGATGCCAAATAATAGCTGTACAGAATCTAATGTCTGGCGATGGGCTTCATACTGTGAATATTGTTGCTGAAAGTTCAGAAGTCTTGATACTGCTTCAGATGGACGAACCCCAGATACACCAGGTCCTTGAGTATCAAAACTATTACGGAACTGGATGACATTAACCACAAAAGCCTAGAAGATTAAACGTTATTAATAAACTTGATTCACAGTATAATTCAATATATCTTGATTTATATCCYACCTTAACCTCCTTATCTAGTTCTTGTTCAAACATTCCACGTTTTTTGATCAGTAGCTCTGTCCTGACCTGAAGACAAGAAAAACAAAATGTTATCTATATYATAGATAATATACTTAGACACCTGAAATGCACCTGACCTTTTCAGCAAGATCAATGAGTTTAACCCACTCATCACGCAGGTTATCAACCTCCTCAACTTCCTTTCTTGGTAAAACAAGCTTGTATTCCCTGAGAATATTATGGGATTGCAAGTGATATACAGTTATGGATACAATCATAATACATGGAGAGCATTCTGCTGCATCCTATCACCTTAGTTTATCGTATAGATTTTCAACTGGTAGGTAAACATCATCTATAGTGTTCTCCATGTCACTCAACATCTGAAGAAGTTGGAATGCACTGTTTAACTCATCGAGGGTTGTGACAGGTTTCGATAGTCTCTCATAAATTTCATTCCTGCTTGTCACAATTTTTTCCAGCTCAACCTAAAAATATAAATTTGCAATCACAATCAGGTGAATAATGGTGATATCTTTGCCTTGTGCAAATGGTTTATAGCTTCTTCATGGAGTACTGACCTTAGCTTCTTCATGGAGCTGTGTAGAGTAGCGTAGTTTCCAGGCTACAGCAAAACCATGCAGTGAGTCTCTAATAGGAGATGTATTCAGACATACTGATCCAATTTTAAGCATATCAGGAATACTGGACACATTTACTTCAATTCTTTGCAGGTTTTCTATTTCTTCTTTAAACTTGTTAGTGCCAGGATCACTTTCAACAAAGGAATGATACAATGCATGCATGTCATCCTTCCACAGGAAATCGTACCGGCGGAATTTCAACAGCTGACGATCCACAGTCTGCTGTAAACCTAATGAAGACATATCAAATATATAGTGATTTCACCCTTGCTTCAYTAACCCTAAGTTATATGCCACTATTTATTATGGTTACCTAAGAAGGTATTTACATGTCAACTTGATGTAATTCACTTACCGGTCACAACTGTGGAGAGTTGATCAAGGTAACTAACAATTTTGTCATGACAATGGATTTGACTGTAAAATGACTGATTGACATCAGCTGCCCACCACATGATGGCTTTGGATGCATCTACCAATTCACCTGCAATTCTATTAACACCTTCCTGGATCACTGATAGGCTAGGCTCTATTACAATATCAGGAATATTAAACCTGATCTCAACCTGAAAAACACACAATACACTTATTAATTAAAGAGATGTAGAATAAAAGTTACAACAATACAAATCAACTGTTCACCTCAAACTTTAGAAGCTCATTTTGATTTGAAGTACCAAGAACCTCAAAATCACCTAACTCATCACTTGTGTCACCATCACTATAGAAACAGGTACAATACACAATGAGTCTTTCATTAATAAAAAGAAAATATACATTGAATAAATTATGTAGCATTAATATTGTATACCTTAGTTGTTGTACTTGAATACCACTTGTCATCCTGCCCAAAGGTTGTACACAGTCACCAAACACCATCAAGGAAGACAATATTGATGACAAAACAGAATCAAATACCATACTACAATAATGACCAAATATATCACCAATCACTGACTCATCTGTCAGACCACTCACTCCAGTCCCCACCCTGGTTACAGGGGCAGATGATATAATTGTTCCTATTTTACTCATGCGTGGTGTAGAAGGTCCATGTTGATCTAGTCCATAGCTAGTGCTGGGAGTCGGTGTCAGTAATGGACTGCCAGGAGATGTGATGCGTCGCTGCTGGGATATGGCAATTATCTCCTGTAGACATTATAATGACATTAAATGTAGTCTCCTTTTAGCTTGTGTTGGGATCCTTATCCCTCACCCTATAATCACTAATAATTATATCTGTTATTTCTAATCCAGTAGATGGCTAAGGTTATCATTATTAGTCAATCAAAATATCTCATGGTGAGAAGACAACAACATCTACAACAACTATACCTGCAAAGCATTCTCAACATCTTTAATCAAGTCATAAAGTCCTTTGGCTTGAATCTTAATAGCTTTCCCCTCAGATTCTACAAATGCATCAACTGTCCATACTTTAGAGTAGGCCAAGGTGGGATCAAATAGAATAATTTTTTCTATTTTCTTAATCTTCCTCTCTACACCATCTCTGATAATTTTGTTGATACTATCTACAATATCCCTAAGTCTGTCAGTAGCTGAGTGCACTTGATGTAAGTAAGCATCAATATTCATGCTGTTCCAGTTCAACGTAGATAGGCCTGGCTGTAAGTAGTGAAGTACAGACTCCATATGTGGTGTGAGTAATTTTTTTAATGGTGCTGGTACACTTGCGCAAACTCCATAGTAGTCTTGCAGGACAAGCTCTAAGGACTGCTTGTACTTCTTCAAACGTGATTCCTGTACATCAATATCAAAACCCTTTACTAAACACTATATGGATTGAACAGTTTTAAAAATATTTGTTTGCATTTATGAATCATGTTATGAGGGTTCTTTTGACTGATATTCACAGATAGTGGTGATAAAATGGCCATCCTAAACAATAAATCTATGCAGTTTAGGGGCTAGTTGCCTTGTGAGCKAGACTCACCTGTTTCAAGATCTCAACAGCAGTCTCTGGAAGTGAAATTCCTAGTCTTAAGAGACTTTTACTTTCCTGAATCAACTCAAAAACCCTAACCAGAATATTTATAATTAGCRTATATATCAGACACTTAATAAAAGGAAGGTTATGGGATATGTTCCTCTTACCTCCCATCTGCATTGACAATCAGTTGGTTGTTTGATGGRTTTTTTGCCAATAATGTTGTCTTTAGTCCAATGTAGACACTATCAATACGAGACTTCCACAAACTCAACCACAGATTTTCAAACTTGACCAGTGCTGCTGCGATGCGGTTGTAGAATTTTACTATGCGGTTGAAGTCCTAAAAGGTATATAGTATATGCTAGTCCTGGTTTAGTTCAATACTTAAAAGCAAAGCTTTACATACTCTGTATGCAGTCACAAACTTGTTTTCTTTGAATATCTTCATAGGTTCTTCTATTCTCCTCAGCAGATTTCTTGACCATGTGATCGCACCAGCAACAATTGGTGAGTTCCGTACTAGAGGAGGTGCTTCCTACCAGACATATTATGACTTATTAGTGTTCATAATATCTCAATATTGAAGATGCTCCATCACTACCATCATCATGTRAGCAATACCAACATTCTTCAATTACAGCATTATCATGATGTTATTGGAATTCTCAACTTCACTATGACTGTATACATACTTTTTCTTCTTCATAGAGTTTCTGGACATCTTCAAGTTCACTTTCAAACCATGTAAACACTTCCAGGTATTTCTCAGAGAGAATGGCTCTAAGAGCTGGTCTATTGATTACACTATTGAAGCTAATAATTAAATAAGAATACATTGAGAAAACACCACTTTTAGATTTGGCAATTTACACTTTGTTACCTTGTTACAATCCCTAATGCATTACGTATGGTCAACTTTGATAAGAATACACCCTGAAAATGAATGGAATTTTAATAATAATACATCTACATAAACACTGAATGAAATTTGACAGACTACCATAACTCAACCAATAGCTGATCACAACTTACCAGTAGATAGTTGCAAATAAACCCTTCAACTTTCCGTACTGAAGTGACAAAGTTTGTGTAGCATTGCTCAAAGATGTCTTTAGTTTTGGCTTCAATGTCCAAAAAGACACTTGTAGTGATGGCCTTCTCAAGCTGTGATCTCATGTCCATTATAGTGTCCCCTAAAATACTAGCAATGCTCGGTGTTGGATTGGTGCTGAACATCTCCTCAACCTCTTCATCTCCATCTTCATCAATAATGCTACTGGAAACTGAATATATCAAAACAGGTATGATTACTATTTCAATCAATATTCAATATCTGTCTGGATTATTTATTTTCTTAATATTATTCATCATGTCTATTTACCCTCTAATAGATTGTTAGGTTCTAAGCTGCTGGTCATTGATGGTGTCTTTTTCACATCTTGTGATTCTCCATTAGCTCCTTCTTCATCCTCAACAGGAGGGCCATTCATCACATATTCAAGGGGAATACGCAGCAGATTCCTAGTGTCTGACACCAACTTAGTGAGCTGTCCAAGTGTCTGGATAATGTCAATCATGTTACGCACATGAACACAAAAGGTATCCATATATGCCATGATAGATTCTTCATCAGATAAGGCAATGCCACTGCTACCTTGACTTGTAACACTATCAAGATCTCCCTTATGTCTGCTGCCTATTGATTAACAACATCAACTCATGATAGACAGGTAGAAACAGAAATGAAGAGATGAAACTAATAAATGAATGGATAAATACATGGATGAGATAATTGATGCTTACTTTGTGTGATTGACATTCTCATACCACTATGACTCTGTGGTGACATGAGATTGATATTACTCCCACCAGTCATTATTCTTTTGTTCATTGCCATCATACTCGGGGTAGTTGATGAAAGGTTGTGTGACCCACCAAGACTGTCACGCAAACTTCTTAACATGTCACGATATTGTTTCTGTAGAGACAGACAGCTGTTTAATCGTGCAATAAAGGCATCTTCATTAGCAGTAACTGTCTCTTTGGGTCCTTTCTTTTTGGTTTTGGTTTTTATCACCGGCAAAGGGGTGCTAGACTCAACTTCTTCTTGTACTTTATTCCATAGTTTGTCATCATCACCAATTATAGTAGAGCCACGTATATATGCTTTAGATGCTGCTACAAGCTGATTGGAAATCTGGAAATAAGACACCTTGAATATTACTTCTAATAATTTATGCTGCAATTTTGGAAAATGTAAGTAAACTTCTAGAAACATAACATATGAAATTCTGGGATTGGATGTTGTCCAGATAGCATTCTAAAACTTTACCTTTGAAAACAACAGCCCCAGATAACCACTTCTTGCATAGTACCTAGAAACTGAATCCATCTGCCGTATACTTGCCATTAAGCCAGGAAGTGTGGAGCTACATAAAGTACCTAATGGAACACCAGAATACATCTGGTCCAGGTACTTACGAATAGATTCCAGGTAGCGTACTTTGTCTTTGGTTTCATTTAAGGCATCTGTTATACTGAAAAAATTTTTTGTTTTGTTATAAGACTGATGCCTTTACACTTTTGAACAACTATAACATATCCTACATAATTCTCACAGCCCATCGCTTAATATAAAAGATTGAAAAATTGTTTACAGCTACGTCACAAGAGTGCTGTAGTTATTCATGACAAATCCACTGTACCTCACTGAAATGATTATGATATTAGTACCTGGCATCAATCATTTTCCACTTCTTGAGTACTTTTGACTTGGCTGTAATCAGTACAGCAATCACAGACTTGCATTCCTTGCCTTTAAGTTGATCTGTCACACTAATTAACAGCTTCTGCCTTCGTTTCCACCTATCCAACTCACTTAAGGGACCCGCATAATTATCAGACCTACAAGCAAAGAACACAATGTTAATTGTATTAATTATTTGTCAAATGAAAGACCTCTAGAAAAGGTGGAACAGTCCTACCTGTCTTCAAGACCATCTATCAAAATATTCTCAATTGTAGATATCCAGTCTGAAACAAGGTTTTCATAATCCTGCAATATGACTGGGTTGACTGCAGCAGCCCTGTTTTGCTTAAAATCAGTATTTACTTGGCAATCCGGTTTCTTCAATATTTGCTGCGGTGCTATGGTTGCATTGGCATATTCAACAAGTGTGTTGGTGTATTTGTCGATTTGATTCAGAAAATGTTGGTGTTCATCGTCACTGCATTGTCCCCAGTCTTTCTGTGCATGCAGTATTGGTGTAAAAACCTCAGATAGCAAAGAACTAAAGCTAACCAAAGGATTTTCTTTGATTTCACCGCAGTACACTTCTTTCTCAACGCATGTTGGATCGATAACACGATTTACATCGGAGCGAATGAAGTACAGACAAATTGCATTTTCATCCATAACATCTTTAAGTTTAGCACAACTACTTGTCACTGACATTTTACGCGTTGTTAGACTGTTAGGGTCCGGTCTAGGGCAAGTAAAAAACAGCTTTTTGTGTCCTTCAGGTGCCAAGAAGTCATTGATGAAGTCAAGGGTGCTTTGCTCTGCCATGAAATCCTCGAGCATCGTAGGATTATCCAACGCTCCAATATGAAACGTTTCTTGCAGTTTAGTAGCAAACCACCAATGTCGTTCATCCATAATGTTTTATTTTTTTAAATTTATCCAATAAAATTCTCAATAAGTTCAAATTGTAGATTGTCGATTTCCCTCCATATTGTTGTCATTGTGTAACCAAGCACCGCTATTGTAATACCCCGGATGAATATGCAAAATTCCAAAGGGATCCCACAACATTTCTTTTCCAAAAAAAATCAAGTCATTATAAATATTAGTTCTTACAATGTTTAATCCTTGATAAGTCAGGGGTACAGATGGACTGCATCCCCAATCATTTCCTAACTCAGTCTTCCACTTTATAGGAAGTTCAAGACGCAGCMCCTCCCCTATTTTCATGTACTCCGCGGTCCTTGACCTTCAGAACAATCCTCCATGCATACTACGGTTTCCTCAAGGTTTTTTCTACGTGTTTGCTATTTTCAGTGCGGGGACGGCGCAGAAGAGTCGTTTGTAGAGGGATGCAAATGAATAATTTCCTAAGTGAATGGGAGGAGGGAGCTGAGGTATAATATTAGTGTAAACAGTAGAAAATGTGTTAGGAAAACTTAGCAGTATACAATTAACGCATGCTTTTCTATTGCGATAAGCAAGTCAGAGTACAAAATGATGATATCATGTTTACCACTCCCGTTCACGTTACGGGAACGTAAGTCCACTTAGGAGGTCATATAATGATCAGTTTACACGTGTAATCCGTGCTTTCACAGAACGCAAGTCTACCTAGGTGGTCAAAATTTACCTATCAATGTATCGATCGTTTTTATTTTGCAGTACCACATATAGCATGCGCGTTACGGAAATCACATCATTGATCGAGGTACACAGTAGTCTATTCGTGTAGCTTGCGCGCTTTGATTGCGGTACCACTAATAGGTGGTTTCTAGTGTGTACGTGTAAGGTTTGTGCTATTAGCGTTACGTAAGGTTGGTCTTTGTATATGTGTAACGTGTATGTACACTAACTAGATAGTTTTGGTAAGCAATGCTTTCATGTGACTTGTTCATATTCGCTTTGTTGGTTTTGATTCTGAGAGACAAGATGCCAACTACTAATCCGTAAAACCTTTGACGGTACCAGTTCTCTTTTTAGCGATTAATAATCTCAAATATGCGTGCGTTTTGTGCCCGCAAAAGCTTAACACGTTCACGCATCCGGCTACGCGAACCAGAAAGGAATAAATGATAGATATATTTATCATCCACTGTGGCCAGGCTTGTTATCCATTGGACAAATTAGTCATAATATTATGGCATAGTTTAAATTACATCGAATCAATACATTGTAGCGTGTAAAAATATTAGAAGTATGCTGCTATGACGGAAATTTGTACTTCACTCTATTACGAAGGTCATGGAGTTTATCGTGTTAAGATTTTGTACAATAAAATACCAAAGACATGGTGTCTCTGAAGAGCAATTAACGAACACTTTTATGCTTTGTTAATGTACATGTCTTTTCTCATGTTTCAATCAACAGTGATTTGAGTGGAGCGATGTTTCATCATTGAAACACACTTTAAGCTGTTATCACTGTTCTTCTAAGTTTTGAAAAACACTTTTGTATAAACCCCACCAAGATTCATAAGACAAGCTGCTTCACGTTGTTACAGTTCTATTTTACCATATACCAATTAATAGATTGAATGTGTGAACCATTTCACACAACAAGGCGACAGCGTTCATGTTGGTAAGTCTATTATACGTGTTAATAGTCGCTGCTGTATCCCCTTAACGTTTTTGGCAGGGTTTCCGCCCTGTAACACCAACCCACTTACCATGGCACGCGATAGTAAACATTGATGACAAGGTACTCGTCAATGCAKCCTAATATTTCTACACTATATCTTGCTGATAATCATACATGGCCAGAACTTTATGTGTTGTATAGCTGAATATATGTACACACTTCGCTGAATTACAACAATTTGAACCTTTTTATCTCGTTTTTATCTAAACGGAAGTGTTGCTTATCTTTTTGCCGTAGTTTTCATTCTTGTTTCGAAGACTGCTATTTCTCTGATAACAAGAGAAGAAACCGATTTTAAATTGCCAAACAAGCTAAGAGGACGCTGAAAGTATTTCGTCAACTGTCAATCGATCATGTTTCCATATATGGAACGTTTTCGGCGCAAATATCGCAGGTACCGAAGAAGAACAAAACCACGAATTTCCGCGGTGCAAGCGTAAGGAATCACACGCTTTGTATCCGGCGGAAAAACCCCAGGCCGTTAACACATGCGGGCTTGATACAGCGCTATACGCGGAACTGTTGCTACTAATAAAGGAACTGACTACGTGTTTTTATCGCAGAACAACTGAGCCTTGAAACTTCATACACGATATAACACGCCTTGTTTTTTAAACAGTACAGCACATACAAAAAAATCAATTCTAATCATGCTAAGACGAACTGACATAACATGCAAGTATAACTGGATTTTTAAGATCAGTCATAAGTTTGAGCTGATTACAGGTTCCTCAATGAACTTTACTTTCATTAAATTGAAAAAAAAGGAAAAGAAAGGGAAAAATTAAAAACTTATATCGTTAAGAAGAGCTAGAATAATGTTGTTAAAATAAAGGAAGAAAGTATTCATATCTAATTACTGCTCACATCCATACAGATAATTATTATTGGGAAGTCTAACGGAAGTACGTTATCTAAACGATGACGTCACTAGTGAATCATAAGTATGTGCTCTGAGATTCATGCTGTTCTACACTACTAGAGGATTAGCAGCCCTGCAGAGACACTTAATCATGTACCATATCTCATCAATACAAAATCATGAACTTTTTTGGCTTTTCAATAGTAATTGCATACTTGTATTGTTCAGTAACAAACTGAATCATTAATCAAACAGTTTGACTCTTATTGGAAAAAAGAAAGAAACCAGCTCCACAGCAACAAAGAGACGGTCACGTGTGGTAGGTTTGTAAGAATTGTTGTCGATTTTTTTTATATATATTAAACAATGAGCAATAACTTTACTGGTATCGTCGAAACAAAGAAGTTACGTTAATCGCTAGTATCATGTCGGGTTATAACCACMATGCACTAATAAACTGTTACACTTGACGTAGCTAAACGACATGAGCGTCGAGACTAGAAATGATCCCAACGTCAACTATCATAAGTGAGGCGCAAACCAAGAGTTATTGTTATCGTTATCTGATTGCAAAGTTGAGCTTTCGTCAGTTTGAACAAGCTACTTTGTAGAATTTTACAATAAAAAGGAAATTCTCGACCTCAATGCAGTGAAGCTTTAAGCAGAACCAGTTAATGAAATGTATACGACTTATGGTGATGTTACTTGAAGAGTGTCACTTGAGATTACAAGAAGCTAAAACTGCACAATGTTGAGTTAGTGGCGGAAAAGCTGATTTGTTTGCTTTTTGTGTCCAATGAACACGAGCAATATGCTAATGATGCTAGCTTTCTACAAAACATCCAAAATACGCTGTTTGCGTTGGGTGATTGGAGTAAACCTCGATCCATATTACTAGAGTAAGTATCTCAACGTGATCCTGACATCAGCAGGGAGCTTAGCTATCCTATACAGCACACCACGGGCGTCTTTAGTTGGTTAAATCGTCTTATATCATCGTGTGAGTGCTACTAGTTGTCAAAAACAGTGAAAAACAATTTCGATGCACGATAATGATCTGCGATTCAGCCAAGCATTGGATAGCGAATACTGAGCCTTTTTGAGACAACTTTTTGGCCGTAGGTTTTGAGTAGAAGTGGTGATAGGTGTAATTGCTGATAACAATACCAATTTGCTTTCGTGTTATTACACGGCGTCAGCTGTCATTCCATTGTATAAACACGGTGGTGATAGTAAAATTATTGCTTTTGTTTTAGGCACCCTGAGCTCTTGCCATCAAGCCAGAGCATTAAAACCAACCGAGACAAATCTCTCAAGTATCTGATGCAATCTTGACGAAAACCAGACTAACACATTGGTAACATCTTTTTTCGTTAAGAAGCACATTCGTGAGCGAAAGAATCTCGAGCAAAAAAATTGAATCTTGGGTGAGCATCGATATAAGGCGAGCTCCACGTGAAAGGCAGCTTAATCATTGATGATAATGGACTTGTGCTTATCGGCTTGTAGTAATCCCTGTCATGATGAACAAGCTAGCTGGCTTCCGTAGCACCCACGTCTAACAAGTGATATCCCTACAAGAAAAGGCTGTATGCTTGTTGCTGTGATCACGCAGAGCATCGTGTTAACCTAATTGGCCTGTCAATTGGGATTGTTTGTGTGAAAAACATATGAGTGACACGATATAAACCTATTTAACGAGGACAACCCGCCCACAAGACTACCTTATTTATAAATGTGCAAGGACTAGACAAGACCAACTCCACTATCATGATGCTAATTCACAAATTAAGTCTTGCTCTGACTCTGATTTTGATAGTTTACGTCTCGGCTGTGCCGGTTCTGATTGACGATACTCAAAAGGACAGTAAAAAGAAAGGTCGTCTTCCACTATCAGTTCTTACTCTACAACGCACTAGAACTCGACCCAAAGAACCATGGGAAATCAACGAAAATCTTGTTCTTTTAAGGAGAGTCAACTCTGCTGTAAAAGGTAAACCTATTTTTGTTAAAATGTTGTAGTCTGGTCCTTGCTTAACATCGTCTTCTCTGATTTCAGGGAGATTGTTTGACGGTAATCCCTTCTTCCAAGGTGATATTGTACTGGATCACAGAACAAGGCAAGTTCTTCATAAGAATCCTTCACGGCAAAGAAGGGCAGTCAAGCGATTGACAAAGTTTCGTTGGCCAGGCGGAGTAATACCGTATGTTATCAGTAAGTCTATAGGTAAGTTCGCCATTGCTAGTAAACAAACTTCTATCCATACGTCAACGCGTTTTGCAAGTCTTTATTGAGTTTTCTAAAACAATATGGCGAGCTGTAATCTTTATCAAACAAGACTGCGACCTCAAGGCCAAATCACTGAGTTCGATATTGGGATTTTAAAGTTATTGACTGTTGTCAACCCACGCTTATTAAGCATTGAATAAAGGTTCTTGTGGTTTGATTGGAAGAGCCGTAAACCAGGAACACCACAAGGGCGTTCTTGGAATAGTTGTAGTCTGTTATATAGCCTAGTTTTCATCGATTAAAGTAAGGTAAAGTTCAATAGGATAAAAGAATGTTGAATCCGACGCATCGTTTGCGGTTGGTTTGGCGCTCACACTTGCTAATAAGCTGTATTGTCGATTGTCTTTGATTCTTTATGAGGTTTTTGTCCAGGTTTTCAAAGGACATTATGTTTCAATTTTCGCACTCAGCTTTGAAAATTGGCGCGGCGACTTTTGAAATGGAATGGCATCAATTTAAGTCAATTAATTTAGAAGTGAAACTATAACAAGGGATTGGTTAAAACAATGGGCGGAGTCAACTTAATTTCATTCATTGCAGCACACAAAACAAAAAAAGAGATCAAGAAAGGCATACGRCACTGGAGGCGTAAGACGTGTCTTCATTTTCGTCATAAAAGACCTAACGATACTGACTACATTAAGTTTGTCAACGAGCCAGGGTGAGTCTTACCGTTATAAGCTGAACCTAGTAAATATATATATGAACTAAAACTGTGTAATCCAGTATTTAGTAACTTTAGATGTCACAGGCAACCATTATTAGTAAGTTTTTTTTATCGAATACGATCTGATTTGTAGAGATTGTAGCCGACCTCACACTTGGTTTATCTGACAGTATTTCTCGGCTAATTTGCAAAGTCATTAGCTGTTATGATGAGAAGGCGTGAGACACCGGAAACCCGCTGACATATCGAGTATTAATAAAATCAACCATGCAGAACCAGCTAAAGAACTCTTGATTACCGGAAGCTTATTCATGATCACTAAGAAGACCTGATTTCTGGGTAAACAACACACAAACATCTCGACATAGATTTTTTTTCGTTTTCATCGATGAAAGGTTTTACGGTAAAAAGATAAGTGAATTCAGGGTAGCTGGCTGCGTAGAGTAAGAAAACTATGCAAACAAAAAGGACCCATGAGTTGACATTAGAAAATCAATATCGCAAAAAAGCAAATTATGGAAAGAAAAACATTCATTCAATGGAACCATTGTTAATAATACCGAAAGAGAACCATTCCTTTCAGAACTGAAAAGAACGTTCGATCAAAACTTGAAATTGTGAAAATTGGAATAATCGATCATGTGATCGATAGCACTTTGTGGAAAGTCAATTGATGATTGATGATCCATTTTTCTGTCAAATCAAAGAACCACGTGTTTTCATATAAAGATTCGAGGATTCAAAAGTACCAGACCAATAGCTTATATACATCAACATTTAAACACGTTTAATAGGTTTTTTTTTTTCAATAACAAACCGTAGACTGACATCACAATGAACTGCTAGAAATCAATATAATGCATATCTGAAAAATATTGATAATAAAAAATCTTAATAAATTTATCTATGCAGCATTCTGTTCACTTTTCAGATGCTTTTTATAAGTAAATATCTGTAATATATCTAGTTTTAAGCTTTTTTCGTCTCTGGAATTCCCAGTGTTTTATTTTTGTGTGAAGACAAAACCTTCTTCAAGTGTTGCAGTTTGATGTGCAATTCTTTTGTAGGAAAAGTGTTAACTTTGTGGCTTCCTACGCAAACATTTATCGATTTTTAAACCAGTGTTAATTGTTGTATTGTTTGGTAAAGGCGGAGAAAGCAAGCGTGCTTACTGTTGTTTCTTTCTTTCATTGCCCTACTTTAGATGCTGGTCTTACGTTGGCAGGGCTGGTGGCGAGCAAAAGATATCAATAGGTCCTGGCTGTGAATTTGTGGGCACTGTCATCCATGAAATTGGCCATGCAGTAGGATTCTGGCATGAGCAAAGTCGTCGAGATCGAGATGATTACATCAGAATAATACGAGAAAACATTCAAGATAACGCACTTGCTCAGTTTGGTAAGTCTTGGCTACTAAGTTATGTTGATTATACAACATCAATTCATAATAGACACTTGACTCTCCACAGATAAGATGCCCAAAAAGTGGATGAATTCCATGGGGTACGCATACGATTTTAACTCAATAATGCATTACGGACCAAAGTTTTACAGTAAAAATGGTAAATTAACCATCAAAGTTCGAAAAGTAGGCAGGCGAATTGGTGCCAAAATTGGACAAAGACGTGGTCTGTCTTGGATTGACATTGCTCAAGTGCATGCTATGTATAACTGCAATGTCATTCCTTCATCGGAATCAGGTAAATAGTGCACTCTGAACATGACAGCTCTAGCAACCACATATTGACTGGACACATTGTCCAACAATTTCTCACTACTGCATCACCTACCATGAATCTAAAGTWCCACGATAAAAAGCACGCTGTCAAACACGCTACTGATATAACACCATCCTCACTGGTGACCATCCACTGATTGAACAATGACACAATCCTTCCTGATACACAGGTGATCTTGCCTGGACGAATCCAGGATTTTCTTCAGGGATGGGTGCACCTCACAAAATACCATATTATGAATGGGGCGTTATCAGCTTTTTATTTCAATCTGTGGGGGATCAGAGGTTTTGTTTGCAATTTATGACAACTTTTGCCAGCCAACCCGCCGCCCTAAATAATGAATAGTCCCTAAACACAATGTAGGAGAAAATATAGAAGGATACAAGGGTGTCTTGAAGGGTACGCAACCCTTGCAACCACCAGCTGAATCCTCCACGGTCCATCTAATAGCACTGTCGATAATGATACACTTTCCTATATCATAAACACCATCTCACGCAAATCTGATATACCTTCCAATAAACCTTTCGACAGTCTAACAACACAGTCTAATGACACACAATAAACCGCCTGAAAAGCGGCACTCACAAATAAACAACTATCATAATACTTAGGCCGTAATGATGTAATAAAAAAACATGGTACAGTGTAGGTTTCTTTCGCGTTACGTCGATAAAGATTTATTTTTTTTCTTTTACAGTGAATTGTTTCAACAGCTCAAGTGGCGATGGACGCGATTACCGAGGCAAATTGAACTACACTGCRAAGGGTGTGATGTGCCAGCCCTGGAACCAGCAGTGGCCGCACAGACATAACGAGATGCAAAATCCTAATCGTGCAGAGAGGAAATACGGCCTGGGCGATCACAATTAYTGCCGCAATCCACGAGGACGGCGGTCTCGCCCGTGGTGCTTCACCACGCTAAAACGTCAAGAATGGCAGTACTGTGACATCACTATCTGTCGAAGTGCAAAGAGTAAACGGGGAACCTAATTTATACGGTGCTCAGCTAATGATCTTCAAAAGCTCCCCACCACTCCTAATAACCGTTGGTATCCATGGTGACAACTATGACGTCAACACGATATTCACCTGCGGTGGATTAACTAATTTGCATATGGTTGTTAACCTTTTACTTTGATACCTTGTGGAGATATAAGCAATACTTGGACAAAATATATACCACCAAAGACGAATTAGCAAACAATATTTGGATGCTGCCATTACTAACCATATTTGGACATACTGTTATTTGAAGAGATAATGCTCACAAATGGCCTTGAGAATTGCACGAAAATACCCCAAACAGTTATGGGGTATTTAAACAATAACGGTAGGGAGCAAAGAACAGCGTTGAGTCTGAAACAAATACAGTTCCTATGTACATAAGGTCTAGTTATAGCATGATTTAACTAGCTAAAARCCAAAATGCGGCTATCATATCACATACAGATAATACTAATGACATTGAATGGGAAAGTGATATACATGTTCCAAGGTTTATAGTTTAATATACAAGCATTAGTTAAAAAGGTAGCATACCCTATRTAACCTACAGGTGATATTATGGTGGACGATATAATATGGCGCATCACGTGACGTCACCATGCCTGGTTGTAAGATGGTTCCATATAACGCGTTATTATCCTTATAATAACACATAATTATTATCGAGTAGAGGAATGATTATTTGATAATTTATTCGAGAGTAAAAACACTTAATATAATAGACACTGTAAAATTTGATTAACCATTTTATTTATTTTACTTCTATATAAATACAGTCCGTAAACACATCAAGATTACAGCCAATGACAAACCTGAAACTGACCACGTGATTTACAATCATGATGCTTGCTTTAATCTCGATAATACCCTATCGCTATTATTTGATGTGAGAGAATAATTTGATTCCATGGTTACCTGGAAATTATATATATTATACACTTCAAACAATATTGCATAAACGCAGGTGGTCTATTTTGAACAAGATTGTTAGCTGTTACGGAGGCGATSTAGATGTACAAATGTAAAAGAAATATATTTATAATTTAAAGCCATATATGGAAGATAACTACCTTWTATGGTAGGACTTCAGTCATCTTTTCAGCGTTAACGACCACTTAGGTCGTGTATAAAATAATATTTATCGACTTAATTAAACCATCAAGTTGCTTCTATAGTAACGAAAATTGTCAAATAAACTGTTTAGCTGACACCGTGTTGTGCTGATACTGTGAACAATAGGATGATATAATGGTGGGCCTTGGCGTCCCGTTTTGACTTCGATAATCTGGCACAAAGACATAGTGGAACAATAAAAGTATCGATACGATTGAAGTCTGTCACTTATTCTGAACGAATGAATGATTGATATTCTACGAGAATATTGGTACTATTGTAGATCGATGTGGTGGTCTCTCAAATAAGACTTCCGTTTCAACGAACTATACCTGTTTACATTAAAACAAATCGCCTGTCAACAACACGTACGTTTGTACTGGTAATGTTTGTCGACTGTATACGACATAATAACATGTTAAAAAGGTAAATGGAATGAATGTTGACATGAAAGAAAATCTAAATAAAACGATTGAGATAGATAGAGTCGATAGATAGAGTCGATATCACGGGTTAAACAGCCTGCTGCATCTACTTCTTATACTCAATTATATAAATACACTGGTAAAATGTATATATGATGATGCTAAAGTAAAAACTMTATGACGCTAATTTTTTGAAACACAAGCAGAAAAACCCGCCTGAAGACTGAATTGACAAGATTTCGTCCCAAATTAGCATGTCATGCYTTTAGATACACGAGCGAGCGGAGAAAGCAGCAAAAGTGAAAGAACAAAACCAGGAGGACTCGCGCTTTTTTTTTATTTAAGGGTTTGTTTACCAACGATGTAATTGAGATGTGAGCTAAGAAACAGTGCAATTCTTGCCGTTTCTCTACTTGGTTTTACTGCATTTCAAAGATTCCTAATCCATAATGTTATAAAAGACCTCGGGTCGACGCCTATCAACTAATCCTTCTGTTGCCTTAGCAACTCTCAACATCACGTGCTCTTGCCACCAGCCACTCATGATCTGGAGGCTGATGGGTAGGCCATTGTCATCATAGCCAACCGGAAGTGTCATTCCAGGAATTCCAGTAAGGTTGCCTAGCGACATGAACCTTAACAGAATGATACCTTTATCAATAATCTACGTTGCTACGGWCTACCAAGTTTGTCGCAGTTCATATAGAACTGGTTGCTTATATTCTTTTTTKACATTCACACGTGTTTAACCTTTAGGGACTTGGTTATAAAATTCCATACTTAAGAGCGAGATTTGATTGGAATCATGGATGGAAGTATGCTGATATCACCTTTATATAGATATCAGTACATCTTTTCAAATACCTCATCATTTTCCCCATTACCACCGTGTTAGCCTCTCCATACTTAATGGCGTCCTCACGAATCACGGGAACTTTGGTTCCTAAGGCTAAACAGAAAAGCTATTAAGTTCAAAGTATCACAAGTTTGACTACTGATCACAATAAARCAAACCATTACATACAAATATACTATCGTAACAGAACCTGGCGTAATGATGCAGTCAACTTTTTGAAATATTTCTTCTAAGAAGATCATGGCTCGAGTTCTTTGCTTTTGTGCCTGTTAAAAGGGAAAGCTATTGTCATAATTACAGATGAAAGGTGGCAGAGGAAACTTCGTTGCGTATCTACAGTACAAGTTACCTGAATGAAGTCCATTGCGGTGAACTGTTTTCCTATTCCAAGTGCTAATACAGAGTCCGTATTCTGATAGAACAAAAGAAACAATATATTCATAGGTCATCTTCACCAACATCAGACCGTCTTCATGACCATTAAGGTAATTATTTTACTTAAAAAGTAGATTAGATTTTAATATCTCTATTCGTCCTTCCTAAGCAATAAACGGACATGARAGATAACCCAGCTTGTATATGTTCATCACTATCAACATTCGCTGCATCATCACTACCATTATCATAATGACAACAACATCAAAGTATGACTAACCCAAATCGTTTTCATTGCAATAATCTTGATTGGCACCAGTTGGCCTTGCTGCACTAAAATATAGCAACTGAGAAAAAGACTTCCATCATCGCTGATGTCATAATTTTTAACGCCACTTCTATATCATATCATTGACAACGGCAGTAGTAATGGCATGGAAGATTATGCCAACGAGGATGATGGTAGACGTGTTGTGTTGCAATGAAGGCTATGGTGCAAAGTTTTCGAAATGACACCGATTTGGGTTTGTCATATAATTTAAAATAACTGACCAGCTCACTATAACATCTTTCGAAGTAGTTGACCATCCCAGTAGACATCTCACTCATGATGGTAATTGCATGGGCGACACGTGTTTCCTGTCAAAAAATAGACAGTCTGGTTGTCCACTTGTATCAAAGGTAAAGTCAGCAACACATTGCATTTAATCCAGTGCTATTCATACAAACAAGGCTAAAATACTATCACACAACAAATGGATGTGTATATCACCTCTAACTCAGGGATTTGAATTGTAACTCTTTTACAGCCAAGCTGCTCAAGGCCTTTAATCACTGAAAACAAAAAAGAAATTGTGGATATGGTTTGCACAGACAGCAYGAATTCCATAAACTGGRCCATTTATATTTACCTTCATAACATTTGTTATACACCTCAACATCTGTGTGCTACATCAGGAAGATAAAGTAATAATTAATAATGGCACTGATAATGATGATGATATTTAAAACTATTTATAAACGTTTTTTAGCTACAACGCGCACTCTTATTGGCTGATGACCGTGTTTATAGAAGTAAACAGAGACAATGGTTTGYGGTTTGCATGCTCATAGACAATTTAAAAATAAAAATAAAAGAAATATAAACTTGAGAARCAAAAAGAACACTAGCTGTGCTTGTGAATAAAAAAAATATTTTAAACATGATTTTATACCTCAAAGAAATCCACATCAATGCCTATTCTAATACCGCTTAAAGTCTGATCAAAACCTTGAAGAGTAACTGGAGGTTGACTCAGAGCTAATAAAAATCAAATGAATTAATATAAAGAAAGAACTACTATTCACAACTTGACATTATGTCTTACTGCAAAAGTCCTGTTCATCTTTTCCAGCAATAAATCCTAGAAACATTGTCAGTTGTAAGTAATGTGTACCATTTTCATCGTCATCACTTTTTGATCAAAGAAAATGGTGAAGTTACCCTTACCATAAACAAGAGCAGCATCAGTGACATTATTACATATYGGACCTGTTCCAAGAATGGTTCATATAATTAAAYGCACTAATCACTAATTTYTGATTTCTTATTAAGGTGGCTAACATATTTATTGATTTATGATTTTTAGATGATRTGCCCCAGTGTACTGCGATGGGTTGACTAACCTGTGTGACTGACAGTGTGACATATATGRACAACACCAGCTTTGTTAATGCGTCCAAAAGAAGCTGAAATACATCAATATATAAAAATATAGTAATGCCTACCTTTGAATGTTACATATATTCATTAGCAAGGTACCTTTCATTCCTACAACTCCACAAGCTGCAGCAGGCATTCGTATCGAGCCTCCACCATCAGTGCCAAGTCCAACTAGACACAATCCTAATCGCAATGAAATAGATAATGATAATGTTGTCACTGTAGAATTACTACAAAACCAAATGAATTTTAAGCTTGCAATATTTGAAACAATACCTGAAGCAACAGCAGCTGCAGAGCCGCTTGAGCTCCCCCCCGTGTAAWAGTTAACATTATATGGATTTCTGGGGGTGCCATGTAGCCTGTAAGGGAGTATAATAGCATAATATTGCAATAGACAATAGTTTATAATTCCACATCTACATCTCATCTAGTAAATTACGAAACAAATTTTCTGGACTCACTAAAGATAACTTAACCTGACAAAACAAAAGTTTTTTAATGTGAATAAGATATGCGTCAAAGACAGCTTGTTCATCTTAAAATGGACAGCAACTAAATGGACAGCAACTAAATGGACTTATTTTCATACAAAATGTTAAGAATACATTACTTTCTTACCTGTTGCAATTGTTTCCAGTTACTCCAATGCCAATCTCATGCATATTAGTCATTCCAACAATCATGGCTCCTCCATCTCTGAGTTTTTTCACTACTGATGAATCTTCTTGGCATACTTCATCTGTCCAGCATGTTGTGCCATTGTAGAGATAATATGGCACCTAGAATAAATAAATGTTTATCACTAATCTATTACTGGACAGCAACTAAATGGACTTATTTTCATACAAAATGTTAAGAATACATTACTTTCTTACCTGTTGCAATTGTTTCCAGTTACTCCAATGCCAATCTCATGCATATTAGTCATTCCAACAATCATGGCTCCTCCATCTCTGAGTTTTTTCACTACTGATGAATCTTCTTGGCATACTTCATCTGTCCAGCATGTTGTGCCATTGTAGAGATAATATGGCACCTAGAATAAATAAATGTTTATCACTAATCTATTACTAGTTTGTACTTCATACAAACGGACTAATTAGATGTTGCTATCTCTAATTAAGACAATAGTCACTGATTTAAGAGAACAATCAACAGAAAGATCAGCGCACAGGGTCTTTGGATAATACACTGAATGCAGCAAAGTTATTGACCACAATAATATTCAAGTAGAGTACTGGTATGTAAGCTGATGGCAGCCTGATTACTTCATATGATATGTAGTTTAACCATATTATAATACAACTAAAACTTCTGAAATCTAATGTCATTACCACATCATATTCTTCTTTGATTCCAACTGGAACACCATCTAGGAATGATAAAGTTTTGGCATTCTTATACCTTTCAGTAGATTCTTTGGCCATCTTCAACATGCAGATAATTTGAGAACAAGATATTACAGTAATGTTAGAATAAAAATAGATCATGCAATCAACATACCTTACGGATTTCTTCAATATTGTACTGAGTGAAAGCTCTCATTTTAGGACTTCTTTTATCTGAATCTTCAATGCACCTTATGATATTATTTGCTACATCTAATGGAGTAATATGTTTCTGCCTGGAAAATATAGAAAAAATAATAGTTCATTAAAAAGAAATTTATCCAAATGAGCATAYTTTATATTCTGTTTTTGATATAAAAAGTATTTTTTGCTTGCTCTTCACAGACACTAAAGACCATAAGAAATTATGGTATATACAGCAATATGTAGAATTATGATAATTTTGACTTATACAGCCTTTTGCAAAAATTATGAGAATTGTTGAAATATCTAAATATCATAATATCAAGTGCATGATCCTGCGCGATGCCCTTAGTCCCTTGTCTTTGTAGTTTAGTTTTTTTTTTGGCAACGGACTTATCCGTACTTCTGAATATTTTCTCGATGTCAACAATGAATTATTCTAGCAAACCCGCGTGTTTCAGACAATATATGGATATGGATATTATGATATTTAGATATTTAGACAATTCTCATAATTTTTGCAAAAGGCTGTATTCCAAATATATATAAAATATATCAGAAATTATGGGATATCATCACTAATATTTTTTTTAAGTTGCCTATCACTAGCACTTTCTAAAAAAAATATTGGGGATGATATCCCATAGTTTCTGATATATCTTATATTTAGTTGAAATATGAGTCAAAACGATCATAATTTCTGCATATTGCTATAATATTGGATATGTTGTATATTTACCTGTATGCATTAGTTAAATCCGCAATGGTGACAAAGGAGAATGAATTCTTGTGATATCTACAAAAAAATGAACTGATTGGTGACATMACAAAACAAAGCAACTAGACAACAACACAGTATATTTCAACATCTTCATAACAAAAATATCCCTAAACAAAAGTACCATAAACTAAATCAGACATTACTGTATCAAATCCTTTTTTATTATCCTACCTTTTGGGCTGCTTTAAGTACTGGACAAAATCTATTGTTTGTTCTTGAACACTTGGAGGACTCCAAGAAGGTAATGGTAATGGGATAATTGTTGGACAATCTGGGATTTCCATAGTTCGAAATATGTCCAGGTTAGAATTACTAGTAAATATAATATAACAGGAATAATAATAACTCAATTGATGTATAGAAACATTTTACTATCAAATAACTTGAAAYGTAATTTAATCTAAGAGCCTAAAAGATCATGGATATTATATTTAGGGATGTCACAGGGGCGGATCCAGCTAGTGTGTACAGGGGGTGCACACCCCTTCCTGAGATCTGTATCCTTCAATACTTTCCTTATTTTYTATCTTCATGGTAATGATTTTGGTGGGGTGCACCCCCTCCTGAGAGCCCTGCACCCCTCCCTCCCCTCCCTGAGGAAAATCCTGGATCCACCCYTGTGTCAGGTTGTCTAGGGGAGGGGAGGTGTTGCACAGCAAATGTGAGAAGGTAACAGAGAAGAAAAGTTTTCATCAGGAAGGGATGTGATTCCCTGATGTACACCTTCCCAGATGGATCCACTATTGAAGTTGCTGTATATTACCTAATACTTCTTGGTCCTATAATATACTTGGCACTCTAAAAAATATATAGACACAATATAATTATTTAAAGGTATATGAAATGATTGATAATAATTGGCTCTTGCCCAGATGCAAACTCTGATTGTTCAATGGCTTATTTTTTTAATCTCATTCTTATTTTTAAGATTAACATTAAGATTGACATTTTACAATAATTTTAAATGAATTATTATTGGGGGGAGGGCTGGTGTGGGAGAGGGGAGGGTCATATATCATTTTTGCAAGCTTTAAGAGAGGGTCAAATCTTCACTTGAAAGCTTATCTAGGGGAGGGTCATCCTAGTTTTTAGGTTTTAGCTAAGAAAAAATGTTATACCATCGAGATTTTTCGTGGACCGATATACTTCACAATGAGTACTTCCGTACTTCTTGCGTCTATGTACCAGCAAAAGATAACAATWCTCATATTAGTGCCTGAGACGGCAGCATGATTCTTAGCTCCATGTATTTTTCATTWTATATCGTTATTTTACTTTCTCTCGAACTCTTTTCTCGACGTAGCAACTCTATTGGATCGACAAAAACCTCAGTAGAGCGAAATCAAAGCACAGGGATCCCTGCCAATTTTGCCATAGCTTCTACTACACGTTTGCATGTCTGGGAAATCGATTTGCGAAAGATAAGCAAATTACTTTCGAGGATTTTGAGAGTCACTTATTAGGAAAAAGAAAGAAGGAAAGCAGGATGACKTTTTGCTTTGATCAGTATCGACAACAAGAAAAAGATTATTGGAAATGCTGCAAAAATATGAGGAAACTCAGCACCCATCTGTGTGAACTCTTTTTTCATCAAACCTTTMGGTGGCTTGCTTTGCCCATCCCATTGGTGGGAATAATAGCCATGCTTTTTATGCAAACTTTGGTATAGCCTGAGACTTATGTGTGTGGGGTGGGGGGAGGGTCATCAGTATTTTTGGAACTTTTGAGGGGAGGGTCAAAAGTTTAGTTTTGGAATTACTGGGGAGGGCCACATATTCTTCTGGAAAAATTMCWCTGAAAACACCAGCCCTCCCCMAAATAATAAACGTACCTTCCCTCAGCTCCTTCCTCCGTCCCCCTAACCTCCCTCCCTCTCACTCCTCAAAAAAAAATTCTTAGAGAACAAAATAAGTGAATGTCCATACATAGAGTAAGAATATGACATCTACATAATGTGATACACACTTACAGTTTTAGCTAACCACTTGACAAATAGCATAGCTACTCCACTAACTCTTGGAATATTCTACAAAATCACAAATTATGGCAATTGATATGCTGGCAATTAATAATTAAATAATAAGAATGCACTTTTTAYACATTTTTAACCATACCAGGTCATGCACATTGTATTGTACAGGAAAATCAGGTTTTCCAAGTTTTTTAATCCTGATATTTTGTGATTTTGAAGGMCTCATAATATACCATGTTACCATGACAACCACTCCAGAGATTACTACAATAGTGGGATCCTATCAAAAACAAAAATAAACAAATCAAACAAACAAAAAACATAAGAGGAGATACAAAATATACAAATTAACTTTCCCTTGACATTAAATATGAATCTCATTTCTATTCAAAAAAATCCATACACTCAAATTTGTTGCATAAATCTACAGGCAAGGAAGAGTACGTTGTTATGSCTTGCTTAACTGTTTATATGAGGACTCAAATGATGTTTAAAAAAAMCCCACAATATTCAATTACTGATAGACTGTCATCAATCTAGAAGTTGGTATCAAATTATTTTAGTTGATTGCCAGAAGTCTATTGCTGATTCCAGTTCTGAAGTGTTCTCTAGACTGGTTGCGTAACAATCTAAACGAAAATTTTCACAAGGATTCTGGATTCCACCATATTGGACATAATGTCATCAGTGACTTGTTTACAATTAGGAAACATTCGAAGTACTAATTTGGATTCTTGATCTCTCTTAAGTTATTTGATTCCATTTCCATAGCTGCAGATTCCAGATTCCAAGTGTCTGAACTCTGGATTCAACTGTCAAAATTTTGAGATTTAAAATTCGTTATCCTGTGTAATGGGGCAAAATTTATCCTGAATATCAGTCAACTATGTTCAACTATAGCCTATACTTCCTTGTATATTTACAATCTTCTCATCAATATTTCAATGATCACTAATAGGCCTTTGTATCAATTAGACACATAGTAGTAAGTATAGATATTGCTATAAAGATAATCTCTATAAGTCATCAGTGAAGGAGAATCTAATTTTGTAGCCTAATACATTTCCACCCAGTATGCAGTTTTTTTACCGGTAATAGATGCAGCAATGAGCATTTGTGTTGTTAGAGGGGGAAGGGTTGTGTGAGYTGGCGAAGTATATCACCCTCTCTTCCATGAACAATCAAATATTTGACGTCTCAGCGTAGTTTAAAGCTATCTACAGATGCCCATTATTGTTTTGAATGTCAATAAAAGAAGTATAAGAATTCAGCACAGCTTCAATTGCAAACTGATATGCTTCAGTATAAGCATGGACTAAGACACATTCCAAGTCCATGAGGCCGTTTATTGATGTTGTACCTTGCTGTACGAGAAGTGTAAATAGAGAGAGACATTCGTCACTATGGCGGACAAAAATACATTAATATTTCTCCTTATACATAAAAAACAAAGACAAGAATAGAGAAAGCTAAATTCTAACCTTTTACTTACCATTCTATATTTCTATGCTAATATGTCAAAACCTCTCGAGTCACGAAAATCCACCCCCTCGTCAGTTGGAGTCCTAGGACACAGGTATCCCGGCCAGGCTTACTGATTAACATGTAGTAATTTTTAAACGAAAATAAATATTAAATTTACCACAWTTTTTTCTCTTTCATTTTTTTATAGCTATTTCTATAGCATAATTTCAGGTTATTAAGTTTCAATAGCTGTTCGCGAACGTCGCGCCAGAGCACGATTGCAATTCATATTTTATATTTAAATCTAAAAAAATAGTTTTTTTTTTGTCTATATTTATAAACTCAGTGCACTAAATCTATGAAAGAGCTTTCGTTGGTGGATTCAAAATAACTATATACTGAAAACGATATTTGTTGTTAATGCTTTCCATCAGCTGGCTTTTGTGTTAATAACTTCCGTCACGCGCAGTTAAGTTGAATTAATTCATTTAGAATAATGAATTAATTTATGCAATTCGACATTCATTTCATTGTAGACAAAACAAAATTTTAATAACGGGTCGAACGTCGAAATTAAAACTCAACGTAAAATCAAAACGCAGTACTGATTATCAACTTTATCAGCTCTAGTCATATTATTATTACACAATATTCTTTTTTTACTTTTTGTCGTCGAAATAGAAGATGAAATGTTCACCTTGGTGAAGGCTACAAACATTAGCATATAAGAGTTGCTGGCAGACAACGAAAAAGAGCGACCAAAACGTCTTTGTAGTCCTCTCCTACACGCTATAAAAAACATCAATGATAAGATTTCAAGTTTAAGATATAAAAATGCATTTTTCCTTTTTTTGCAAAAAAAAAGAAATTAATATATCCCAACGTGTTAACAATACAAGGTGCGTGCGCAAGRATTGTTAGACGTGACGTCACAGGTTCAGAACTGTCATTCAAACACGTGGTTTAGTTCGATGGATGCCAAGCGAGTCGTTTACTAAGCTTTGACCGACTACCGATTGTTTTTGAAAAGGCGGCAGAAGTATTCGACGTCAACCGGTCTCGAACCCAGTGTAGGGACACGTGCGCCTTGGGAAAGTGGTCTTTAAAGTCTTAGATTGTCCATTTTAGTAGAATATGGTGTCTTAATTGAAGTAGAGCTCGTTCGAGCGCATTTCATGGCGCAGCCATTGTGACCAATGTTGGCGAATGGTCGGACCAGGCCAACTCTCTTTCCCAACAACCAACGGACTTCCAGCGAGAAATCAACCAATTTTTCTGTACAATTTTCTCAAAAGTCGCCTAGCCTTGCAGCGATAACAGAAGGACATGAAAATGGCGTAAAAAGTGATAAACGTGACGATCAACCCATTCTGGATGAATTGAACCAGACAATATCCACAAATAACAACAACAAGAGTTCTTGGCCTAGCAAAATGGCGACGGTGAATAGTAGTGGCCCAGGCCAGCAACTGACGAATACCAATGGATTCCCTATGCCATTGGTTGCTAGTAATAAAAATGCTACCGTGGATTTAGCTTCCTCTCAGCCAGCCATCAATAATCAGGCCTCATCAAATATCATGGACAATATGAATTCAACTACTTCTGGTAGTATGATTTCTGGTGGTGAAACTAGCAATAGCATGCCTTCTTCTTCGCAATATAATGCTTATAATACAAGACAAGATCTTTTATTGCAAGGTTTTCGGTCTCGTAATGCAAGTCATGACATCAATCCCATGATGCGTGCTGCGCCCCACACCAGTGAACAATATGGCTCTCCTCAACAAAGATCGTACATGTCTGGATCCAATGATTCTTCAATACGAGGGTTAAATCGACAAAATCCAAGCCCCTTTCCCCCTAATTACTTTCCTCAAGAGTCACACAACAATCAAGCAGTATCTAGGGTCGATAGTACGCAGTCTGACGAGAGAAATTCGACTGAACACTTTCAATGGCAGCAACCGATACAGCGTTATCCGTCGAGTTTACCATCAAACCCTTCGCCTGCTCAACCACACAGTCATAGTCCAATGCAGGTAGGCTAACTATCACATGAAACATTATTTTACATTTTGTTAGTTTTTGTTGTTCAACCAACCGGCTGGAACCGCTGGCAGCAAAAGAAAATAATAGCCAGACGTTCGTGTGAAATATTTATCATTTGGTGAAAAATGGCGGCTTTGAAACATCGAGGGCGATCATATTTCACGCGAGTATTCTAGAATATGGCAAGTAGTTAGAGTTATATTTGTAATAAACTAGAATTAAAGCAATAAACATACCATAGAAAGTATTTTGAAGCAATGTAGTGGTTTCGATGAGTTACAAAGTTTGTTCAGTCGATATTCCGGGTTCCATTCTATTGGCTGTCTACAGCTAGACACCAACACCACTTTACAGGCTTCCCGCCGATTTGTTTCAATTTTTATTGTTGACCTTTTTACATTGAATTACTATGAGATAAGCGAGTTGTAACGGTATTATCTACTATACAATACCACAAACGTTTAACGTCTMGTCTGTGTCATTACCGTCTAGTGTAAGTACATAAAGATCTTGTATTCAGCACAGCCACTCAATAACCGTGTCAAGAAATGTCAATAAATGGATTACAACTTTGTACAAAACTGTACAATGAACAACTATCTTTAAGTGTTACAGTATACTTTTGTATTTTTTAAAACTGAAAAATAATAACTGTGATTTAGATTATGCAATATTTTTTTTTTCAGAAAATACCTTGTCTTTATTTTAATATTTTTTATTCATCGTTGCAATTGCTATTTTTTRGAATGCCATAATTTTAGATGTACAGTGTTTTCAAGGACTCTTCTTGTTTATTTAGGACTCCCTAGATTTATTGATTTTTAATGATCACATGTTGTTTTCAAATGTAGCAATCTGGTATACCCCCTCGCCAACCACCACCATACATGATGATGGGTCAGGCACTACCTCCTCCTTCACAGTCACCACAACAATATATGATGCAATCACAGATGAAGGCAAACACAATGTCCAACCCAGCACCACCTTATTATGGTGGAATGGGACCTATGATACAAAGACAGCAAGGACTGGCAAACCAAATGCAAAAACAACCACAAGAATATGGGTCTTACCAACAGCAGCCTTTCTACTCACAGGTATTAATATGTACTGCTATTTTAAAACTCTGTCTTATACAGCAGAATAAKAAATTAATGTTTTTTTTCTGACTTTTCTTGAGATGCAGACTTTTAAACTTCTAAAGTGACTTTAATTTTTTTATATATAATGCATTATACGTCATGTTTTAAAGTACTGTGATTTTCCAGCCACAGTTCCCATCATCATTACCACCATACATGCAGTCYAGACAACAGCAGCAGCAACAGTCAATGTCACAAAGTCCTTCCAATATGTCAAGAATGATGCCAACGCAACAGCCAATCTTACCAAAACCCTCAATGGACATGTATGCAAGATATCCTAATAACATATCTTCAGATCACAGAATGGTGAGCATGGTGTTGATTATTGATAAGGATTGTTGAGATATAATGCAATATGTGTTAACTATTGTTGTTTCAGGAGTTTCAAGGACCTGTTATGAATGAACAAATGCAACAGCAACCACAGCACAGACAACAACAGTCATACTCTAGTCCAGGAGGGGTTGGGCATGAGACTATCAACCATCGTGGGTACTACTCTGGTTATCCCAGCTCACCATCACCAAATGTTACCATGGGGTCACCTTTAAGAAATCTTCCTGAAGGTCAACTGTCAATCAATTTAATATTATAATCAATAATAATATTTGTCACTGATTAAACATTGGACACTTTTTATCACTAAACACTAAGAGTTGTGAACTCTATATCATGTCATGCAAGTCTTCCAGCAGTTATTGTCTGTTATAACAATATACTTCTTAGGGATTTGCAACATCTAGCCGTGCAATGTTTGAGACATCTTTCATCTCACTAATGATTGATGTTATAGAAATTGCATACAAATCTGAGCATACAACTATTTATCCATGATTCAATAACACAGAACCGTATTTTGCATTCAATAATAACAACATAATTGGCTAAGATTCTAATGAACATTATATCAATAAATTATTATTACACAATGAATAGTACTTCCAACAAAATGTCAATTGAATGATGGATTTGTGATTAGGTTTTACAAACTCTGCAAATCTGCCACCAATGCCAGGAACACCCACATTTCCAAACACACCTCCATCATCAGGGATGCCATTTTCATCTGGTACTGCAACCCAAAGCAATGCGGCAGCTGCTGCTGCTGCTGCAGTAATGCAGGCCGTGAACTCAAGGTATCCMCCATCCATGGGGCATCAGTCATCTGAMCAGAGTGGATACAGTTCCCATGACAATATAGGARCCATGAGAGGTAGAATACCCAATACCATGCCATCATCAGGATTACCAGGAATAGATGGTCCTGGTAATGGAAGTACYATTGAAACAGGTACTCAATGATTTAATTTGTGATATTTTGTACAATTACTTAGTATCATAGTATCATGTAACCATGTAACTATGTTGTTGTATCAGTTGGTGCATTGGCTTTGTATGGATTTTTCATTTGTAAGTCATTAACTCATTATGAAAAAAAAGTTCAATCATGGGTAATGTGGTTTTGAAATCTCATATACCTCTAGGTCGAGTACAGTCACCAACATTGAACATTCTACCCACTGCAGAAGATGTAGAAGCAATGATTCAATCTATGAGCTCAGAGGATACTTGTATGAATGACTCTACGACTCAACCTCAAAGCTGYCCTCCATTTGTGCCTACATCAACAGTCAAACATGGTAATTTTGTTATTTGTGTCCTGAGAACTACTTGGTTACTAACATTGTTAACTGATAATTTCAGAACTGGTAAATGATTCTCTTTCGTCGGCATCCCCTGCACAGAATGTCACTAGAACAACAACAAACACTTCACCTCTGTCATCATTTTCTGAAGAGTTTCCAGGTGTGACATCACCAGGTGTTTCTATCTCATCATTCTGTGATGATGATAATGATGACATGAATGTACCAGTTGATGATATAACACCAACATTGGGGCAGTCTGCTAATGTCGTCATGGTAATGACCCTGCTCACTWTGATGGTATTTTTGCCTAATTTTAGTAAGGATRGGTATAACAAGCATTTTCTTGTTTTTCAGATGACTAAACAAACAAACAAAGACACTCCACAGTTTGGAAAGGTATGTATTAAAGTGAAAGCCATGCTATCATGTATGAYTTGTTAAGTTGCTGATACAAGTGCTTGATTGGTTGYAGTATTCACTGTTGTATGAGCTAACCGATGAACCAGAAAGGAAAGAGTTTCTGGACAAGTATTCATCATTTATGGAGAGTACAGGTATATGTCATCACCAACTTTATTACTAGAAACATACAGTGATATTGAGTACTTACAAATGATAGTAAAAATGCTTCATCAAGATCATTGTTCTTTGTATTAGGCAACACTGTCAAGCAAGTACCAGTGTTTAATAATCAGTTATTGGACATCTATAAGCTATACAAAGTCATTAAAGCAAATGGAGGTCTACAGGAGGTAAGTAAATTAGCATATTGTTAAGAGGTATTATTACTAGGTTCTTACGTTATTCTATTTATTACCAGGTTGTTAAAAGAAAGTTATGGGACAAGGTCCTGATGTCACTGAATATCTCACCAGATCAAACAGTATTGTCAAATCAGCTTCGTAATCATTATAGCCGCTTCCTATTGGCTTACGAGATGGCAGATGTTACAAAATCTACTCACACTGCTGTGGGCAACCTTTTTGATGACACAGGAATCCCACCACCAAATGCTACTGTTACATGCTCAGAAGTGCTGTTCCCTGCTCCTACCATGTCAATGTCCAGCCAACCAGGAAGTGTGTACCCAACACAGTATGGCCAGCAGCAGGCAGCCACCAATGGTCCACAAAGCTATGGTRGTTATAATGAAGGGTTTATAGAAGGGCAATATGACAACAAAGGTTATAACATGTCACATAACACTAGTAACTACAATATGACACAATATTCAGCATTTAATGAAAGGACCAACAACTATACAAATTATCAAGGATTTCCTGCACARCAGTCTGTACCACAGTCTCAATTTCCAGGATCTGTTGCCCTTTCCCAGCTCCTTCAACAAAGAAGCTCCAACATTACAAGTTATCCGATTAATCAGTCACGCCCTCAGCAAGACCACCCGATGTGGCCACAGTATAAAGCATCAACGGAACCAGAACAGATGTTTGATTACCCACCTAAACAGCATTACCCATCCAATCGCCAGCCATATCCACCTACGCCACCACAATACCGACACAGCCCACCACCCCATGGCGCCCGTTCACCATCGTTACCACGACAACCTGTAGCCCCAACGCATCAAGCACAGTCACAGATAGCAAAGTCGAAGTTTCAAAACAATCACGTCAAGAAAGATTTCTATTTTCCTCTGGAGTCTGTAGAGGCGACAAAACCTGTTTTTACAAAGAAAAGGAAACTGACATCGCGTGATTTGGGTTAGTAGTATATTTATGTTTATTGCATGTTTATTGCAGGTTCTTTTGTAAGGTTTGCACAGTGTCTAATGTCTGCKTCTATTTCATAGGACCTGTAGAAGCTTGGCGTGTTATGATGTCTCTCAAGTCTGGCTTGTTGTCAGAGACGACGTGGGCCCTAGATGCGCTTAATATCCTRYTGTACGATGACCATACTGTTGGCTATTTCCTGCTTTCTCATCTGCCTGGACTTCTAGATAATCTACTTGACCACTTTCGACGATATCTTGCCGAGATTTTTGGTCCATTCTGGGAAGGTGACAGCGAAGAAGAAGAGCAGCTGAAGAGTGAGGTACTGGTACAGCGAGAAAAGACAGAAGAGGACGACAAGCTACAGCAGGATGTGTGTCGAAGTTTAACAGCATTTATCGCTGCTTCGTCGATTGATTTTGAATCGAACAACGTTGATGAATGGTGGCTTAATTCAAGTCAGACTACCAAACATATACAGACACACTTAGGTACTGATGTCAGCCCTAAAGGAGAACAAGACGACGGCGCAGAATCCGCGGAAACAAATGTYAAATTAAAACTGTATGATTCTGCCGTGATGGAAGAAACGGAAGTCAAAGCTATCGAAACGGAAAATACGAAAGTTTGTGACGGAGGCCATTGTGAAAAACCGACTGAGAATTGCATGATACCCAAAAAGGAATGGGATTTAGACTCCGACGATTCAATTTCGGATGCGGACAATTCTCCAGTAAAAGCCGAACAGAAAAATGATTCACGATTACCATCAGAAGAGGAGTTCACTTCCAGACTACGAAAAGAACTYGATCTTGATATCGAACCATCGGACGATTCAGATACAAACGCTTACATCCAGTCTGTAATCGAGACTCGAATCAAGCGAAGTAAAAGCGTAACGTTAGTTGAAGAACAGTCGTTTCGTACTGAAGAGTCAACGTTAAGTCTGCGTACAGAATCTGATGATGCATTGTCTCGTCGAGTAATGTGTATTTCAAATATTTTACGTGGACTATCGTTTGTACCTGGTAATGACGTCGAGATGTTTCGACACTCAGGGTTATTGTTAATACTCGGTAAACTATTGTTACTATATCATCGTCACGCCATACGCGTTCCTTACCGACATTCATTCATGCAAGATGACCTTGAAGTTGACGCACCGAGTGATGACCGACACGACTGGTGGTGGAGTGCGTTAGAGGTTCTTCGGGAGAAYGCACTTGTGATATTTTCTAACATCGCTGGTCAGCTRGATCTATGTGCTTATCGTAAATCAATCTCTGGTCCAATACTTGATGGTTTACTACATTGGTTTGTATGTCAGTCAGCGGAGGCTATTGATCCCATGCCAACAGCTACAGTTGGAACCTCTTTGTCTGCAAGACAGTTAGTATTAGAGACTTTGGCTAAGATGAGTATACTTGGTGGSAACACAGAGCTTATCTTATCTTCGTCTTCATCACGTCTCGAGGCATTATATGCAACACTTATCCGTCTGCTCGGTCAACGTGAGAATCCCGTCAGTAGAGAGCTGTCGTTAGTTGTATTGTCTAACCTGTCACAAAGTGACAGTGAATATTCTTGTCTTACAGACAAAAAACAGTGCATTGCAATGCTGCTGCAATTTATCGAGGATGCTGCAAACTCCATCAATGCATATTCGTCCGGTGGATCGCTGGCGCAAGCTGGTTTTCACTCTGAGGATTTTTGTGGGACAAGTGTTGATATGCTACGTCGTGCTGCATCTACATTGGTTTGCTTAGCTCGCTCTAAGCCAATCAGATCATTGTTTCTGCCTTACCAAGAAAGGCTGTTACTACTGACAACATTAAAGTTATTAGAAAGGATGATTGGACCTCAACTTGCTGACGTTCTTTACTATTTATCGAGATGACCCTCTGGCTTGGTCAACGAGTGCATGCATTTTCAGGAATATTTTGTACAACTCCTTCAAATCCCGACGATTATTAAGAAAAATTAAAAGCGCTCAAGGAAGCAGATATGGATGAAATAGATTTTTTTACTAGTTAACATGAGTGCAAGAGGCGGCAAAGCCGTTGTTGTGGTGACGAYCGGTGAAATGAGTTGTGTTTTCGTAGAAATGGTTCGTGAAAACACTTCATCAATAAAGGTGTATAGTTTTTATTTACAGTCTTGTCTGGTCATCTAGCACTTTTTGATTTCCTGAGGTAGTTGYCAGACCAGATTGAATATAAAAACTATTCCAGAGGACAAATTCCATTAAATGGATAAAGTGTTTRCACTTCGAGTAAGATTTTATGTGTGTATACTTAGGGTTCAACCCACGTGACCACACAGCTCGCATTTCATTGGTCAATCTAGTTCACCACGTACGTCTACTGTAGTAAAGTCTTTTATAGATAACGGAAAAGCTATTGGGAAAAGTAATAAAAAACTAGATTTTTGTTATTGTACAGGGATTTTTGCACCCTTTTTGCTTTTTCCGAATGTAGCATAGAGTAAAAAGATAAAGAGATAAAATAGAAATGTAGAGAATATGTATAAAGAAAATTCAAATAAAAAATGTTTCAGATAACTTGAAAAAGGAGTATACGATATATAGCCTTTCAAAAGTTGAAGTGCATGTTATGATGAGCCTGCAATTCATCCTGGTTCATCTAAAAGTCAAACTGTCTAAAAGTCAAACTGCTATTGCAGTTTTCTAGCAATCTTGTGCTATGAGCCTTCGTTTTCTTGGCCAGCGCCGAAATCTGCTCCAAGGAAAACGAAGGCTCGGGGAATGAGATTGGTTCTCTAGTGGAAGGGACCGAAGAGGGAAACAGTGCTTGCAATCACGTTYTCAAGATACCGCTGTTCACTGTCGACCTACCACCCTCGGGATTGATAGGTGCATCAACCAGAATTGATATTTTATTTGTCGACAATTTGTTAATACAACAATCTATGTCTAATATACCATCAAGGAGTGGCCAGGCAACATGAGACCTTGCTATAGCACTATTCCCGCGATGTGAATTAAGGCATGGACGTCCTGCCAATCACATTACTTTGACATACAAATAACTGTTCCAATCTGAATGGATCACGTGATGTTTCGACAGTTTGTAAAGTACGCATGCTCTTGTGATCACGTGGTAGATAAAGGAATGGCACTTGGACTGACTGATGCAATAGTTTGCGCATGTCAGTTGGCAGGTGACGTTCACGAAAGAACGAATAACTGCGTCATCACCAGGTATGACATCACGGCTTGTCTGCACGAACGATCCAGAACGGTGCTCTGATTGACACAAAACAGCGAATAACAATTAAGGACAGCTATACGAGCTCATGATTGGCTAACTCACCTGGTATAGTACGAAACAGATAATTGGCTCCGATTGGTTTGAGTTCAACGCCACTTGGAAAACGTACCCCAGCACCCAGAAAATCACTGCCGTTCTTTTCTTTCATTAAAAGTTTGATGTAATARAAATGTTTCTCGGCAAAGAAAATGGGAGTGTTGCTGGAAAAGGAAGACRGCAATCAAAACGCGGTTAAGGCAGTGTTCATGGTGAATTACGACAATTACCTTTTTTGCCAATCTTGATAATTTGCTAGTCCTGGTGGCTTTATTTCAATGTTCAAAACTACATTTGATGAAGAATGGTCTGTACTAACCCATAATTGACAAGCCAAATTACATGACAAGTAGAAATAGTAGTAGCCAGTCTCTGGCGCCTAAAAATATAATCATGTACTTTAAGTAAACAAATAATCGTCTTTCTGCTATTATCTTAGGTGAAAAATGAATARCTTACAAGAAAGTATGAAGTCACCCTTTGTCCATAATTTTCTCCGATGTCATCAGGTGCCTCTAACAATGTTAGTATGGTCACGATATCCGCTGGCTGGTTTTTGTACTTGGGAGATGACGTAAGATCGTACACYTGGTCACCAAGTATTCCCTGCCATAGTTCACGTTTTGCACCACGRTCCAGACCTGAAAATCGTGTGAAAAAAAGATATTTAAAAACCCGCCAGCCTCTTGCGGCTGTATTCAAGAACATGTTTTTAAGTTAGTTGTGTTTGGAACATGGTCATGGCTCTGTCATTAAAGTTATACGACAGGAATGATAAAATAGATTTAAGGTGATGCCTGCGGGCTGCGCAGTGACTAATGATAACATTTTATATTCRACAAAGACAGCAGCACTTGTAACCTTACACTACGATCATCATTTCTACTCTCAAAGGGGTCCATTCAAATCCGGCAGGGATATTGTTTGTTTTACWCAAGGCTAACGATTTCTAATGAGAGCCCTGTTTTTAATCTCTGTTTTAAWTTTCAACAAATGGTAGACATTTCTTCAATTTTGAAACAAATTAGAATTAAAATCGGCTTCTCAAAGGTCGGCTGTGTACAGTAAAGTAATAGTGTCTTATTGACACAGAAGGAGAGATGATAAARACTCACTGAAGAAAATGGAAATCTGAAACGGCTCTTTTTTAACATTTCAGTTATGTCTATCTGATAATATCAGGAATTTTGCACTTACCTTGAATGCAGACAATCTGTACAAAAAGAAATATACAAATTTAACTAAAACGCTATATTCCTTTGTTTAACCCTAACAGAAATCATTGATGGTATTATAAAATAAGTTTAACAATAAATTGAATCAGACTACTTACCACTGTCAGGATAAAAATAGTATACAATACTAGATTCTTCATTATTACATCTAGTGAACACACACTGTTACAAGGTATTTGCATTGAACATGCGTACTAATATTAATGGCCAAGTTTTTGATGTGAAGGGTCTCAGATTGAAACAATAGCTCGCACCTRGTATYCAGGATATCAGAGAAACACTCGTAAATGGACTTCAAGATCAACAATTGATATTAATTTGAGAAAAGGAAACGTCTTACGTTTGCTTACTYGCAATTAGTATTCCTCTGTGAGCGACGAGCCCAGCTTTGATTTTGATTAATAATGATCTTCCGTCTGCTTATTGCAGGGTTGTTTTAAGTAGAAGTATAAAAGGTTGGATCTTATCGGGGAATATAACAATGRACGTAGCGACAAAACACAGGAATCGACAATACACGCGTTTGAACGGACACCCTCTAGACCGTCATTGCATGTCCGCTTTCAAGGGGTTTATTTATTTCAGCAAATTCTTGAGTATRATACCGGATGACTGTATCCAATTCACCGTCCCAGTATGCCATTTGAAATTTTACAGCCCATAAAATTGATTTTATTTTYCTTCAAAAACAAAATACTATATCACTTCCTATTGTAATACCATTAATTGCTTTCATAAATCAACGTTAGCACTTCACCATCCCGCTTCCTGCATAAAACTGACATGAATAATGTTCTTTCGCAGTGCGGTGACGTAGAGATCTATTCCCAGATTTAGCGTATTTAATTAATGCAGTTATATCTATTTATCTAGCTATGATTACAGTACTAACCGCTAATATATACCGTTATGCATCATGGGAAATATCATGTGATTTTATCGCTGGATCGAAAATAAGGATAATAACCAAGGTTTTACTTGGTACGTGTGTACTTGCAACAGCCAACAAAAACTGACGACCTTACTCGTTTGCCCTATGGTCTCACTCTCTGAAAATTCTCTAATATAGAGTATAATATTTATATAATATATGATATATGAATATACAATATAATGCCGTTGCCGGCTGCGCGTTGCGTAATTATTGGACGATAAACGTAGGCTGTATCGCTTTTAAATAGTGCTAGTCCTTTATAACAAGGAATTGAGTGGCGGTCATGCCATGCTTGGTTCTTGTAGCTTTCTTCACTTGACCATTTCGTTTGATTCCAACCAACATATCGTGAGGTTTGCCGCGAAAGTACTTGTGGGAGGCATAAGAATGAAACGCGTTCATCTCATGTGTTTCTTTGAAAATAGTTTCCTTTGTGTTAGCGTGACGCTGAAAAATACCAGATTAGCATTATAGTGTTAGTATGGTCGGCTGGAAAAGCAATGACAAGTTAGTACTTGAGAGTGTATTCATAAAATGTAAATCCGCCTTCCCTGAAATTCATTGCTTACATMTAACGCATTTATAAAGGCTTATGAAACGACATGAAAGAAAATGGAATACTGCATTAATGAATATGTGATTATAATAATATGATGTAGAAACATGGTATTTGAATTAATCGATGCACTGAAGCATACCGTTGCTTTTAAAGTCCCGTCTCGTTTCATGGAGAGKTATCGCCCAGTTGCTATACTCTTTATCTTGACAAGACTTGGTCCAAACGACTGCATCTCAAATACAACTACAAAAATAATAACAACATTGCTATTGACAAATATTAACATCCAGTTATAAGAGGGTATAATCAGTCATCGTTGTTTGTCGAGCAGTGGAAAAACCGCAATTGATTATAACACTTTTAAAAATAAAACAACRGACTTCAATTGATTATATAGTGAAACACGTAAATGAATGACTCAACTGAAATCATCTTACCATATTTACTGCTCTGATTGACAGTCCCACGAACTACACCATTGGATAATATTTGCACGTGATATCCACTTCTACAAAATATYTTACACAGGACGCGATTTGTGGGTTTCTTTGTCAATTCGTAGATACTCTCCCAGTTGACGTTTATTCGTGGTGATGGCCATTTTGGTCTTTTAGGGTAGTAAATCTTTATCCCATAATTTGCTTTGATAGAAGATCCTGTATTCTTTTTTCTGCGATATCTTTTGCTGGAAGCCATATGCTCTGTGCATACCAGAAGAAGAATGAAGAGAATGCAAACTGACTTGTGAGGCATGGTCTATCTAGGTGAAAAGTAAAATCAAGTTACTATTCGAACCTATTTGACTGTTCTTATATTTCTCAAAATAACCCTMACTAATCGTAGATCAGGCTTTGATGCGGCACTATGACWAGGAAATGTTAGCAATGGTGATTTTTGTTTTATTATAGACATGCGATGGCACAGTGTGCAAAACATGAAATTTGGACATTCGAAAAATTAGTTTCGTAGTAATGTTCACTGTTAGAACGAACCTTTAGCTATTTCATCGTTTGATGCAAACGGAATATTTCTAAAAGTCCTCTTAAAATACCAGAGAGCCACATTTCCATGTCTTCAAATGCTACCGCAAATAATGTTGTTAAGGCATAACCGTATCACTCGCAGTATACAACAGTCTAAAAAAAATTCTAAATCATAAACTTACCCGCACTATACTGCAGACTGGCTAAAGATGTTCTTACCCGCACTATACTGCAGACTGGCTAAAGATGTTCTTACCCGCACTATACTGCAGACTGGCTAAAGATGTTCTTGCCGCTTCAAACTTAACAGTTGTGAAGTTATCAAAGTCATTCAGTGTCTGATCAGTGTACGAGACGAAAAAATCGAATTTAAAGTCTAACTCTGAGCAATTAACACTTTAGAGAGACCAAGGTATTGTTCTAAAAACTTAAGCAACAACACGCTAGATTAGGTCATCCTTGAGTGAAGCACAATCTAACAAATCCAAAACACTRGGTTTTTGTTCTCTCATAGTATCTTTTTCCTGCTACGCCCAGGCTGTTGTTCAATACATTGTGTTCGATTCAATAAGTTTACTTTTTAGTTTTCTTTTCAAATTAATTGTGTTATCTAGTTATGCTAAGCAAGTGGTATATTTTATTGTCAACGAATCAAGCATCTGATTGAAAAAAGCCAATTAGAAAGCACCGCCCTCTACGCTGTCCTTGTTAGTTTAAMGACACAGACAGGCAGGTCTCTCAAAAGAAGGCAGTCCATACGGGTGGGAAGCAATCAAATATACAAACGTGGTTGTTTTCGTGACTTGCAAAGATGGATCATAGGATCAACTGTGCTCATCTKCCAAAGTGAGCGGTTTTACTTTGTGTCTCGCATTTATCTGTAAACTACTGTCATTGACACTGAATAATGATTGAAATCGGAACATGTAAAGGACTCATGTCGCGGTATAACTCTCTAGTCCTTTCTTGCCAATACAAATAGCGACAACCCACCACAAAGGTTAGTCTTCATCCCCTCTTAGAAGGATGTCTTAGTTYCCTGTTACCATGACAATAGCGGATAAGCTAAAGAAGAAGTCGGTTTAACTCTAGGGAGGCAGACCGTTGGTTATTATCTGATTACCGATCTTCTTATTAGCCCACAAACAGCTCATTAAATCAATATATTCGACAAAGTATTTAACTAGTTTATATCGTTAATTGCTAAATGATATCAGAGTATGATTGCACCGTTGAACTCTCAAGTCGTGATTTGGTATTGTGGCATTCTTCAAGTAAGAAAAGATTTGCTGACATCAAAAAAAMCCGGAATAATCGGATTTTGGTGGAACATTTGTCGTGCCCAGTGATACTGCACATTTTTGGAGGGGATAAAATTCCGTTGYCTCATATGCTTGCTACACACCAAAAGAGCCGCGAAATCGCAGGGACATGTAACGATGTTAGTTAGCTGTAAGGTAAGTGTTGGAACTGTGACGGAATGTTTCTACACCCTTAAAGAGATGACGATTATTAATGATGATGATGATAAAATAATGATTTTACAAACGTATATGACCAATCAAGACATTTAAGATGGAGTTGGTCGGAACATTTTACCTCATCATTGCAAAACCTTCATCAATACATTTGATTTTCATCAAAAACCTAAAAAAGCTGCCAATTGAAATTGCTTGCYAAAGGATGATCAACCCGCGTTGGTTGTGAATTTCTGACAGTTTTCAATTAAGTAAAATTTACTTTTCACACATTTTCATCAGCATTCACAATATTTTTCTATTTTTCCAGACCTATCTGACTATAGTATTCACATTCAGTCTCTTCCCAAACTCCTTCGAATCAAGTCCAAACAGAACCAACGTGGACCGGAAACTAGCCCAATTATGTGGCGCGAAAATCAGAGYACCCAAGACAAAATTAAAACTTAACCATGAGATATTTAACGTGAATACAAACTCAAGTCCAACACACGTGAGACTGATCAGACTTTACAGTAGGACGGGTTATCTGATGGAAGTTTGGGACAAGAAAAGGATTCGAGGAACAACGGATACAAGGAGCAATCGAAGTAAGTCTTTGGCCCTGTTTACATGGGAAAAAACTCCTACCCGAACTAAGTTTACAATATCGTTCATATAAAAAGAAAGCTATCCCTTGTGATCGGGTCGACTATTGATGTTGAGAGAGATTGAGAACGATTTAATSCAATGCGCACGCTCAAGACATACAGGGTATAGCTCGGGTAGGAGGGTAACCCTGCAATGCACAGCTTTTTCCCATACAAATACTAGCTGAATACTAGGGCCTTACAAGTCTATTGAAAAAGAAGTTTTTTATTCAGTCTATTGTGAACGGTGTTACTTTCAGCGTGGTTTGAACTTCAGTCATACGGTCGTAGTATTGTACGATTAAGAAGCAAGAAAACCGGCCGTTACCTGGCAATAAACTGGCGAGGAAGACCAACCATGCAGGTATGCATCATGATAACATCACCTGTGAGGCATCCACATAACATASAAAATTAGGAATGATGTGAAACGATAACTTTATCGTTACTCGTTGAATCATTGTATAACAACCAATCTTACGATTACGGAAAAGCAAGCTACTGAAGAGTTTTACGATATGATTTCAAAATAATCTCCGTGAGTTAGGTTTATCTTAATGGATGTAGTTTTGTCGTAAGCTGATTAAAATTGCTTTAATATACCACGGAAATGGACATTCACCTCTAATGAACTCATTAATRCAATTTTAGTCYAGTTCTTCCATCAATATCGTAAATACAAAATAAGCTATATAGCCAAAAAAGATAACTAGCTGATTAGTTAAAATGTTTGGTACTATAGATCCATCGAAAAACGGACAGTCTGTTTAGGACAAAACTAGAGGACAACGGTTTTCACAGCTTCACATCTCACAAGTACTACAGTCGCYATCGTCACGACCTTTTTCTTGGCATCAAGAAAAATGGATCCTTTAAATCCCCGTTATCTACTCTACCTGGACAAAAATCCGTACAGTTTTTGGTGCTAGAATAGTGAAATCGGTTAGAACTGTATTTTTCTAAGTTATATTTTTGTAAGTTATGTAAGTGTTGAGTGTTAAATGCGATAAATGTTTTTTTTAAAAATCTCTCACATGATCAATGTATTTGTTATTTAGTAATAAAGCGTTTAGAGTTAGCGATTGTATGTCGTGACATCTCTGCCAATGTCGTGATTGTAGTCGGCTACTTGTGTGGTGCAAGAGATAATCTTTCGCAGCGTGATAGTAAGAACAGCAGGTTATGTTATAATGCAGACATTATACATCACATCTATCAGGACCTTTATCAGGACCTATATAAGGACCTATATCATGAGCTATATCGGTTAAGTCACATACGATTCCACTGTGTGCGTCCAAATTGAGAATACTGATCTAATCTGATGTATTTGAGTCATCGGTAGATTTAACACAGACATGCGCCAACCTGGCGTACAGTATTACATCAGTAAAACAATCATTAGCTCAGTTTAGCTATCGATTAAATATTAATTAACACACAATAACACTAATATTTTCCTGTTATTAATATGCATTTCTAATTTCATACGCAGCATTTTCCATTTTTATCTGCCTAAAGGGGCAGTAGTCTTGCACACTATAACAATACAATAAAGACACTAGACCGTTGAAAGTCTCAACACTACTTCGTGTGGAAAACACAAAAGAAAAATCGGGTGGATTAGTCTAGAATGCCTTTCACGGGTTTGGTGCCTTCATTAGACATATTTCAGTCTCTATTCTTTAATAATGGTTGTCTCCGTGCAGAGCTAATGATCTCATGGAATGGCAGACTTTTGTTTGCTATTGATAGTCTGTGTTTAACTAATACTAGCAAGCAGGCTGATATACTATTAGATCGGTTTGGTTGTATAGTTTACGTAGAGTAAGAGAAACTGCATAGAGTCCTGTCCAGCACGAGTTCGTCTTCCATACTTCACATTACCTCCCCTTTTCACGCCCAAAAACATTTGCAAACCGTTTTTCTTTCTGTGAAAATACGAAGCAAACGATACAAACGCATTTTCTTCATGGTTTTGGTAAAAGTACGTATCTTTCAATGGAGGRTTTTTCTGTGAATGCAACGGAGAGATCCGTTAATGGCGGGGTGAGTCAAGTAGGAAGGAAAAGGGAATCAGTTACCTGTCCTTTTATTTTTCCTTTGCTATCCATCGCAATGTACATTCCAGTTTGCTCATGTTTAATTCTCACCACACTTGGRCCAAAAGACTGAATTTCGAAGATCTCTGCAAATATAACAATGTTGGATATGTAATATTTCTTTCATTGGTTTAGTCGTGGTGAGACAAACTGTGTTATAGTCTGGCACACKACAGCTGGATAGCAGTGCGTGTCGTGATATTAATCTAATACTCAGTTACCATTTTGATGAAGCACTCCAGATAAACTTCCATTYCTATCCATAGAGAGAAATCGACCAACTCGAGAGAACAACCTTACTTGCCATTTATTAGTCCAAGATTTTGTCAGTTTGAAAATCGAGCTGTTTCTTAAGGTTCTTTTGGTTGTCGGTGTGACAGCTTGAGTAGTCAGGACACGAGCGTTTGAAATGATAGCCAACCAAGTTACTAGATAAAATAGCACAACCAGCAGCTTCCGTACCTTAACAAAGAGCATCAGGATGTTTAGGAGTAAGTATAACCTAACTTTATCTCATAGAATTCCAATAGTTAAAAACAAAAGATCACTTACCTCTCTATAAAACATCTTGGAAAGATTCCACGTGATCCTAGCAAAGGCCAAATGCTGCATCCACTACTTTTATTAAATCAAGGCTTTTCTAAGTGGCTATTTAAACTTCAAAAGAAACCGCGTTAACACCCACAGCTTGACGCACTATTTGAAGGTCTGAGTTTCAGTTTGTAAAAACATTGTCAGGGAAAGTCGCATTATGCAAAATAAACTAGAAATTTAACAGGAACAATTTTTACATTTACTTAGGAAAAGCTGTTTAAAGTATTGAATATTGCCCGGCAACTGGATGACTACCATTTGTCTAGTCGTAATTTGATGCTTATCCGATCTTACTCGGCAGTATAGATAATGCTATTTATATCCTTCGTAAGACCAACTACTAATAGGAAAAGCAATGTCATTCTATGATATTTCTCTATCAAAGCAAGCAAGTATAAGAGTAGCCAAAACTTAATTAAAGATTTCTGAGTATAACGTGAAAAAGTCAAGTGGGAGTGCCCTTTAAGATTACATTCTTTCAACTTTTATCTGAGGATGTTTACTGAGCCGACTAACGATAATCTGCCTAAAATAACTAATATTGGTATCCTTTATAACGAGTGAGTCTGTTCTGACTAGCCCAATGAGTAGCTCGCACGCTGATGGCTGTGAAGAGTACTGTACTAGATYTCAGATTTAAAGGCCCAGTTTGCACCATTTATGCTCCTCTGTTATTGTAATGGTTTCACCGCTCGGCCATCCTTGCTCCATCCTTACATGGACTTAAGATCTTTGAATAAAGGAACAAGTAGCACCCATGCAAAGGTGTGTTGCTCTTGAAATTATGGAAATTATGAATAATTTCGTGTGACAATTAGCTGCCCCACCCAAGTAACCGAYCTATGAAAACAAAGATTAATGACTATTCAGCAGCTTTCTATCTATGCGTACGAATGGACCAAAGTATTAAATCATCATTTCATTTTACTTGCTAGTTTTTATTGCAGTCGGAATACTGAAATATCAGTAAAAATATACAAAAATAGCAGCAAATAAGCTGTCAAATAATGAGATATAAAAACGCATAGTGTGAATGTAGAAAGAGAAAACTTGAATTCTGTAATAATTTGATAATACAAAAATCTATAGCATTAATATTAAATAGTTCCAATTTCTTTGCAAAAATGAATCATTTACAAACTGTACAAATAATGTTATTCTATATAATCAAGCATTCGTTGAGTGGGTCGACGGACCCTTCCACGGCTAGATACATCTACCATCTCACTGTCACTGTCCGAGTCTGTTTCAGTGTAAGTCACACGTCTTGATCGAGTCCGCGAACTTTGCCTMGATAAATCAGCAGATGCACTGCTTGATTTGCGCGTGCGAGCAGCCCGTTGATTACTGCTTGATGCGCTTGTTTTACGTGTTCGGTCAGAACTTCGAGATGCTCGAGGAACTGCGGTCGGCCTAATCTTTGGACGTATATTAGAACGACGCGAAGGACGGCTCGTAACAGGCGAATCCTCCTCTTCCTCCTCACTATCTTCRCTTTCTTCTTCTTCACTTTCCTCCTCACTTTCGTCCTCGTCTTCATCTTCTCCTCTACCATCACTATTTTGGCTTTCTTCCTCTTCTTCTTCTTCTTCGCCATCTTGACTTTCCTCTGACATTAATCTGGCACTTCTTCTTCGAGTTGAATACTGGTGTGTTAACGAGCCATTAACTAATGTTTCATTTCTTGTAGCGTTTCGAGTTCTTATACCAGGATCTGTTCGTCCTGCTTGTCGTGTCGGTCTTCTTCTTTCTTCAGGTAGTGTATCCTGTCGTGGAGAAGTCTCTGCTACTGTACGAACACTTATCCTAATTGGAGGAACGCGCCCTGAATTTTCATCTCCTCGAGAATTGTGCCTTGTTTGTGGAAGACGGATTGTAGTTCTAAGATGATCACCCATATTGGATGACTGTGAAACGACTCTGTATTGCGATGAGTCTTCTGTATTTGATGTAGTGTCGTGTGGTATTACTCGATACGATGTACGTTCACCRCTTTGAAGCAATTGTTGTGTACGTAACCGTGTTCGTCTTGCTCCTCCTGACGCACTTGCATACCATTCACTTAATATCGAATCTACTCGGTCTTCAAACATGGCCGACAACCGTATCGTCATACTGTATATCTAGGAATCAAATAAATAGAGGATATTTTACATGGGCTCGCGGAGATACGGATTTTATCTTCGAGTGTTGAAAAGATCTCTCACGAGTGAGCGTAGACTGATTTTCAACACAAGAAGATAAAATTCGTATCTCCAAGCGAACATGCAATATTCTATTTATCATATAATTGTATATGAAAGCAAATTATGCCGTAAAATACCTTTTTTCTTACTTCCACTACATAGAGAAACCTTGAATGTGTTATTTTCACTAGTGAAAATATCAATTTTAGGAAATGGAGAAATACAGGTATTTCATAGATAATTATATGATAAATACTATTAATACACAATACCATACAAAACTAATGCTGTATAATGACTTCCACTTGCGCAATAACCATCATGTATCAAATGAAAACCTTACCCTTGACCGTGGTACAGTGTTGTAAGCCCTGGAATTAGAAAAGATAAGACGGACATCTCGTACAAACGAGTCGGGGTCAGCGTAAGTGTTCGACTCTAGTTTCTCTGACACAGTCGAAAAGTCCATTGGCTCTTGGACAAATTCTAAATAATCCTACAAYACAAAAAGATATCATTACGTCTACCATTACGTCACGTAAAACAAGACAATAACAATATATGCCATACCGGGAAGTCGTTTAGATTAACTGGAGCCTGGAATGGTTCGGCATCTTCTCTTGACATTAAAAACTGTAGTAACTCTCTWGCAGATATTATCCACATCTAAACAAACATCAACCAGTCAGTGAGAAAATATAGAAGTGTTGACTGGAAACGCTTACCTCTTCACTGGCTTCTTCTGGTTCTTCAAGCTTTACTCGTTTGTTGGAAGAATTTTTTTCAGGCTGGAGACGAAGCGAAGAAAAATCATGACATAAACAATAACTCGAGAAATACATAAAAACGCGCAAACTCATGGACAACTCTGACTCGCGTTTCAAAAGAGCCTTGTTCGTCCGTTGGAGAGAGCAGAGATGGAGCGAAACAAGGTAACCTGACATACAGCATACTCTTACCTTCTTCCTTTTTCCTCTGTCACTAGGCCCCTAAACAATAACAATAAAATAAGGTAAAAGGTATATCAATGCCGGAACCACATTAATTTATCTCACCTCGTCATCCCCATTGTCTGATTCCTCTGATACATGGGTTACCTGTGTGAAGTTCATAGTAAGTAGTGGCAGATTTGGTACGAATAAGACCAATTTCATGTATTACCTCAATTTCTCCTTGCTCGTCATCAACTCCACCACAGAGAGAAAGAATATCTGTACATTCCTTGTCCCTGATAAATCATTGTATCATCAACACATCAATCTCTTTTATATAATATTTATAGCTTATTAAATAGCGTAATSCTTATCTGAATAAGAATATGGAATCATATACCAACCTTATGAATTCGATAAGAACACGCACAAGTTGAGTAGAATTCCTTACGATCTGACTGTCTTCTTCGTTAAATAAACGTGCATTGCGCTCAATTAACTTGATATCCCAGATCAACGCATTGGCTCGTCTGAAAAGACAGCCAAAAACAAATAATAAGAGAAGCGTAATGATTCATTTTTAATTACAGGGCTTAGATAAAGCTATATAAGCTTATTATATTATTATTTGACTTACCGGTAAAACCTGTTTTCAAGTTTTTGCATGATGGTRCTAAGGTCAATAGGAAACGGTACTATACTCCAGTAATCAGGGTAAGTTTGTACATCTACAGGGTAAACAAATGGTCCCGCCATGCTTAGCTGGTACAGTGACTCTATACATGACATTATACGTTGAGTCATTTCTTCTCGTCCCTCTCCCAACCAGTCCAGCTCGGTTGGTTCGTAAGATAGTTCTTGCCGATCTTCATCGGTCAGTGGTATATTACTAGTAAACGCACCAGATGCATCTTGGTTGGACGCTTCACTATCGTAGTTGCCAGGATCTACATCATAAATAGTTGTTAATGTTTATCAGTGGTCTAACCCACATAGAGTCTCTAATAAATAACAACTACAATTTTCTTACCGTTGTCCGCCACAGATTCAAGGTCCCACGGACTCATTCGTTCAGTTTCACCCGTATCCCACCTACAAAAAAAGACAGTTGTTTTACTAGTGTATTGTCATTTTTCATTCATGATAAAATTGCTCATTTACCTGACTTCTAGACACTGAAAGTGACTTTCTGGGAATTCTGTTTGATATGGACTGCGTTCGGTGATCATCCCTGCCCACCAACTCTCATCAATCACACTTCGAAAACGATTACCTATAYAACAATTGAAGGCTTATTAAAAACTTTGTTACTTTAAGGTTTCTTCATGTCGGTTCAGTCCTTACACTATAATTACTATCACTTCAATATAATTTTCATGGATACCTGCTTGCCAATTTCTTGTCAGTGAACGCTCGTAATGTTGCCGTAAGACTATAAAGTCTAGGACATCTGCCATGTCGTGATATCTAAGGCAAAGACATCAAGTCAAGTCATGAAAGGACATGGTGCATAAGTGATAAAACTTACTTCACAGTAAATGTTCCTCCTGTCATCAAGCTTTCAGCATTGATTTGTGCTGCAAAACAAAAAGGATTAGCACAATGTTGTTACAACATAAAGAAGAGTGTAAGATAATCCTTACCGAGCTTTATGCAGCATAACGTTGGTGGATGTCCATTGTACAAAGAGAAGTGAAGACTTACTATTCGACAAAGTTCCTCACCCTGGTATAAAGAAATCACCGCATTAGCATTCAATCACAATTTGTTACTGAATCAAAACATCTCATCCAATTGGTTGCAAACAAACCAATTAAGTGACCTTTTTAATTTTTGTTAAAAAAATGACTGAAAAATCTCGTCTACACTAYTGTAACATCATCAACCTYCTAGTAGAGCGGATTTCGTATGAGTGGGATACCGTTACCGCACGGTTACCGCACAGTTACCGCACCTGGCCTGCAGAATTTTGGTGAAACAATGGGGCACTAGAATTTGGTTACAGTACGATTACGGTTACAGTACAGTACCGTCCGTTTCCCACTCATACGAAATCCGCTCTATAACACACTGTACCTTAAGTCTTAGTTTATAGTAACACTGCTTCTTAGGATTAATATCATAAAGTCTGTGTCTCATGACTTCTTTGACATATTTCTCATGTCCTTGGCGGAAATAATAGACCTAGAGTTAGAGACTCTATCAGTAAACAATCAATGATGCCATGACAATGATTATGCTCTGTTACCTCATCTCCTATTTGAGGTACATAGGGAGATAATCGGGGCTTGGTACACATGATCCAGTCAGGTGGCTGATAATAATTCAAGATATCTTGTACTTCATCAAGCTTTGGTTTCTTTGGAAGCTGCAAACGTACACACATAGTCAACTATAGTATTAAATACCATACAATCAAGACAATAGAGCGGATTTCGTATGAGTGGGAAACGGACGGTACTGTACTGTGACCGTAATCGTACTGTAACCAAATTCT